AATACATAATAAGTCTAAAAAATACATTTCACTTTATTTTATATCCATACAAAACAGAATTCGAAACAATGGAGTTAACGGAATTTATGTAACTAGAAATCCATGATTCAGAATTAATTGAATTTCAGATTAGCATAGTGTGAAAAATAAATTTAAAGCCAGTTTTAGGTAAATGTAATGTTAAAAACAAGAAGTGGAGCCGGATCCCAAACTACTATTTTTCAAAGTTATAACTAACATCGGTTTAGTTTCTGAAATGTTGTATCAATCATAAATAAATAATAAAAATAAATGAATGGCGAGTCTCAAAATTATTATTAATAGCAATACTTACTGTATCCATTGGAATATGCAGCCCGTTTACAATACAAGAGTATTGGTTATTTATATTTTTATGATGGGCTTAGAATTTTTATTTGTTTATTTATTGAAATTTTACGCGTTCGCTGCAATATCGTTACTTATTTCTTTCTGCTTATTTGTTTCAGTATTTTGGTCGAAGTTAATTTCATGCTAATAATTTTTTCTCCTTTGCTTAAGCAACACAGCTTCGATTTCTCGGTACCTACACTTTTTTCATGGTTTGTTTTGTTCAAATTTATTTTTTTGGTTGTTTTTTGTATAAAGTATCTATATAAACATCAGCAATGCAGTATTCAAATTACTTTCATAATATCGTTAAAATAATTCGTGGAATGGCTCACTTTGTTGTAATGTTTCTAAAATAACTCATGGTGGCTGGAATATCCCGGGCGGTACTTGCGTATTAACACCAGAATAGCTACCTTAACTCAATTTGACGATTTTTTACGCATGAAAGAGTAATAACTCGTGTCATCATTCAATTCAATCGCAAAAATTTATTTATTGCGCGCACAAACATTATTACATATATGTTTTACACTCTAATTAGATATTTATCCTGAAAATTAATAAATAAATCGACCTCCAAGCTGGTTTTTATTTCTTCTGTTCTGGTAGAGATGTAATGACAATTTTTTTAATAACAGATTCAAAACGATCGTTTCCTTTAGCATTTTTGGGATCAAGGGTCACTTTAGCGATAACGGGTAGTTTAGCAATAACATGATAATGTTTTCAGTAATTGAATTACAAAAATTATAAAGTAAACATAATTTAGGTAAAAGAAGTTGGATAATTAAAAAAAATATTAACATAATGCCGAAAATTTAAAGCATTTTATTACACTTACGCAAATAATATGAAAGGCATTTTTAACTCCGAATATAATGTAGATTTCTATTGAAGCTATAAAAGATAATAAAACTTGTGAACTCTTCCATTTGAAATGAGATCGTTCTACCTGAAAATTAAGTAATTAGGATCATTAGGTACTATTGTAGAGACATTAGGTTATTTCGAAACAGGAGAGATGAAATATGAGCAACGCCTTCGCCGGGACTCACACCACAAGCCTCTCGAATACGCGCCGAGCGTGCTGACCACTACACTACGAAGGCGGGAGAAATACCTTATATACTCCCCCTTTTAAAGGGCAACTGGGGGTACTCAATCGCCACATCCTGGCGGTGGAGACTCATCATCCACCGGTGGCTTTGCAAATGCGGTCGAGAGCAAGAGACTGACGTTAATTGGGGAAAGTAAACGGCTGTGTCAGGATCGTAAGAGGCGATATATTTTAAAAGAAGAGTGTTTTTAGGTCTCATTCAGTATCAGTATATCAGTATATCGCGCGCTGGATATAAATTTTTTTTTTCGTACAGTGTTGCTATTGCTCGCTTTGAAATGGCTGAGTTTTTTAATCAAAAATTCATTAAACAACTTTGAGCTTTCAGATGCCGATATTCTATGGAAGATTACGTTATTCAAATTTTGATGGCTCTAGGTACCGTCGTTTTATCATAAGCGAGAAACATACATACATACATTCATGCAGACTCTTCATTATTTAATTTCTTTAAATATAATACAGGGCGATAATATTTGGTGGCAACAATTTGAAAAGTGATACGCCGTTTATAGTTTTCAACGCAAAACGCCAAAATGAAATTAATAATCCTTCTCGGCAAATTGCCCCTTTAGACTAATAATGTATTGTAAGAGCGATGGGCTGATGCCTAGCAGTAAGGGTTTGGAATCAAGAATATATTTCGCAGAACTATTATATTACTTGGAAGTATTTCATTAACTGATATCGTTAAATTTTGAAATTTCATATAAACTAGAAAAGGGATATAAAAATTAGGAAATATTTTATTTTTAAATAAACATTCAATTTATGTGTAGATAGCTGCAAATATTTCACTCAGTTGTTGTCGCAGAGCTGTAATTTTATCGCGGGGGGGGAATAGGAAATTCCACTGGTTAAGTAATGGAAAATCGAGAAATTTTTGCGATCGAGGAGCAAAACGCTTTTTTCTGGGAAGGGGGGAGTGTTTATGTCAGAAAGGAAGTAATAACACAGATAACTAACATGTAACTAAATAAAATATTATACATTTTTTTAAATTACAACTTTACATTTATTAATCAATTCAAGAAATGCATACAAAAGCATCAAAGTCAAGATTATTGTTTAATTTGACGATATTTTTAGACATTACGCTAAAACGGTTTTTCTTCGTTAAGAAGTTCGTTTTTAAAAAGGTACCCTTTTTTCATCGAAATCGTAGGCACTGATACGAAATTAAGGGCGATTTATACTGTACCTCAATTTCCTGGGCTGAGACGCGCAGTGATTTATCAGGTTAAAACTTGGAAAAAATACTTAGACAGAAAAGGATTAAGTACCTATTTTAATGATAACACTTTATACAACGAAAACGGAACTGTTGCATTAAAAAATTAGCAAATACATCAGCGTTTCTTAGAATCCCAGAAATTCGTCATCACTGTTGCTAAAATCATAGTTATTTTCACTTAGGTTGTCACTGTAACTAGATTTGCCACTTTCCTAAAACACAATGTCGTCCTTATTTCCACCTAGTGCACTGCTAATTCTACACTTAAAAAGTCTTTTAAAAAAAGATTTATTGTAGGATAAAAGGATAAATGTATTTTTCAGTATTAACTTCATTCTGAAGAATTTTCTGCAGTCTAGTTTGCGTTATTTTATTCATAAGTCTCAAATTAAAAACAATTTAATGTTTATATGTCATTAGAAAATTAACCAAAAAGCAGCGACCACAATATAATTGAAAAACTGTCCTTAGATGTGAAAAAGTTGAAGGCCATTTGGGTTAAGACTATTTTCTCAGATACTCAGCTACTTCGCATACATGGAACATAGCATTCAAAATGAAAAATTCAATATTTACTACAAATTCATTGGTGTAACAAATATCTGTCTTTCTATTCCTACTTTAAAAAAAGATGTTATTTGCCTTACAGTTTATAGTTCAATAATACATTTTCATTGTACAAAATTGCATTCATTCGAAGAATTCAATTTGTATTTTCCTCTGCATAAAAATTAAATGTAGAGAAGTTAGATGTTTAAACGACCCCCACATTTTCTCAAGACCACGAGCAAAGAATCTCTAAGGAGAAGAATGAAAGCTTCCATAGACGGAATGTAAACCTGTTTCGCCTCTGCGCCGCTGTACCGAAGAGCCACGGCTATGCAGTGAAACACCAGCGCAGGGTGAAATTTAAACAGCGCAGTTCGAGGAGATAGTAAATTTTTTACTTTGAAATAACTCAAAATGTTTTATTTTCATGCATTTCTGGAGTTTTATGAGCAAAAGGATGTTAGTTGGAATTTTGGGGCGAATTATAGAAATCCTGTCCAATTTTTATTTCAATTTAAACAGCGAGCCGTACGAAGACTAAATTTAAATGAATTTCTTAATTCTTCTCTTCTGTAAACTTAAAAAGGGAGGGAAACACATGCCATACAAAACGTAATAAATTTTTATGGATCCATAGTTAAAATTTTGCAGTGAAATTTTAAAAGCAAAATTTGCAATAACTAACTGAAACAGAAAAAAATATTTAAAGACAATTAAAGGCATCCCTAAATAAATTGAAAACACTGAAATACATTATAATTATCCGACAACAACTTTAAAAACACATTACCATGAAAACGTTTAAACAATTATTTGGAATGACCATTGTGAAAACCAAGAGCAAAGTTTTCACCCAATAGCCAAAACCATTTCACTTACAGCATTACATTTAAAAAGGCCTTTAAAAGAATTTCACATAGCTAAAACCAAGTACCTCTGACTACAACAACAAAGAACGTTTTCGAACAACGTGGTAAAAGATTGCTAACATGGCCGACGGCATGCTGCATTCTTTGATGCTGCTTTGTTGCCTCCTGATGTTATTTCGCACATGCGCAGTGAGGTACGGAGGGTGGATAGCTTTGCCCCTTTAAAGTAAGCTTCAGGGATATACATAATGTGTCTCTTCGGTCTGACGGAGCCACATTTGCCCCGGGGAACCTTTAGTTCTTCTCCTTAGAGATTCTTTGCCACGAGCAAGATTATCCCCTCCTTTTCAGCCCCCCCCCCCGTGAAAAAAGGGGTTCTAAATTTACGACCTGACCGCATATAGGGTGTTTTCCATCCACCACCTTTTAGTTCGGAAGCCACTGTAGAGACATTAGGTTATTTCGAAGCAGAAGATATGAAAAATGAAAAATGCCCTCGCCGGGACATCTCGAATTCGCATCGAGCGTGCTGACCACTACACTGGGAAGGCATGTCAAGAAGGTGAGAAAACTATGCGCTGGGTTTTTTATACATTTATTTTCGAGTACTTTCTCAGCAAAAATAAGTGATAATTTTAAACTGAAAAATATAAAATCTTTTTAATTAATTGATGCAGGCATGACTGAAATTCAAGTAACTTGACAAAGTGAAAAAGGAACTCGATAAACATTGTTATTTTATTTCATTTTATTTTTTAAATTGCGCTCATTGATCCCAGTTTTAACTTTACATTCGTGTAGAAGCCGATTTATGGTCATTTCCCGTAAACATTCGATGTAACAGGATGTTGTACAATTGTTTATATCCGCACTGAAAAGTGCGCGCTAGCTGATTGAATGGAATTGCAGTTTGTGAGAAATATGATTGTTTTGTGGTTATGCATATTTTTACTGTCACCTGGCCAAATAATATCAAATAGCCTTGTAGGTAAGATATTTAATGTTTAAAGATCACAGTTTTGCCTTAAACTCTGAACTTGTGAAATTTGTGTTATGAATTAATGAGATTTAAGTACGTATAAATGGCCTATTAATGTCTCATTAAAATTTGCTGGGAATTTTTAAAGATAAATTAAGAATTGTACTTTTATATTGTACTTTTGTTGCTGTTTACTGTATGCTAAAATGACAATAAAGTAATATTAATAATAAATAACAATAAATTTCTTAATTTTATGCCATTATTTAAAAATAAATTAATTAATCAAATCTGAAAACATCAAAATTAATACCACGTTATTTATCCATCATCTCTATCGACCCTTCCTAACTTCCAAGAACCAAAAGTTTATAAACTAAAATTATATTTTTCTTGGATTCAGGTTTTAAGAAATAATGCTAAGGCTTTAAAATATATTTAAATATAGATACATGAAAATTTTAATTACAGAAAAGCCCATCAAGACAAGTTTTATAGAATCTGTTGAAAATGGCCTCCTTGTTTACTGCACGTGAATACATATGTTACTATTCTAGTAGCATAATGGCAAGATCAGTCTAATGTCCAAGAGTGACAAACTTTTCTATCAGTTGCTTCAAACTCGGTTCTCGAAATGTCTATAGAGGTAACTCTCGATATTTGAATATTTCGCTAACTATTTTTGTAATCACTAAATGTTTTCTGCTGCTCAAACAACGCAACATTTCTAAAAGAATCTGCTAACAGCTAGACTGTAACAATTTCTAGCAAAGTCTTTACGGTATAAAGCTTTTAATTACTGGATTATAGTTATAGTACATATTTTGTCCGTATGAATGTTCGCATTTTTTCCTGTTCTCTTCAATACAGTATTCTATTTTTGCCTGTCTGTCCTTTGATCTTGTATGACACTAATTCTTGGAATTGTCTAAAACGAATATGGTGAGAGGTTTTGTTTTTTTCGTAGAACTTTTAAGTCTACTTTAAGAAATGCCTCAGATTAGTGTCGACGAATATTTTGATAAAGACAGAGATGTTCGTTTTATAGATGAATAAAATACCTCCCAACCTATTAACGTTAATTTAAATTACACATTTAGGTGGTTTAGAATTTTACTGTGTGTATGTGCAGTTGTTCCATTGAACTGAAGGCGCATTCTGAGTACTGATCATAACGTCATCAGAATACACTGTGAATTTGAATTTGTGAGTATGCTGTATGCAGAACTGAAATTGCGCCGGAGTTCACCGAAGCCTGGCTCCGGTACTTCTTAGCTTTTGGGATAAATCATAATTCTAGACGGAGCGCACCGGAGCCCTAAATAAGAAAGCTCCGGTACTTCTTTTATGTAACTGAATAAACAATTTCAGCAGAAATCTGATCTCGAAAATTTTATTCTTAGCAATAAAATTATATTAAAAATCGTTTATTAAATTTTAATTTATCTCTATACATTTAATTTAATTTCTCTATCTATACATTTACTTACTTTAATCTTTAATTATTAATTAATTGACTAATAACCATTAATTAAAATAACAATACAAATATTAATTAATAATATTAATTTAATAATTATTAATTAATCTGTCAATAATTAATTTTTTAATTATTAATGACTTTAACAGTCATTTTATTTATTTACTCTTGTTCCTCTTTCCAGACGATCCTGCTTCGGCATTTCTAATTTTAGAAATTAAGCCCTGGCTGTATGTCCTTCGAATAATAAGTGATTAGAACACGACTTAATAATTAATAAATCCTAAGAGAGGAATGCTGTCTTAACTGATAATTAATTTATTATAAGGGTTGTAAGGAATATTCTGTGGTGAGATTGCTTTGCAATCCATTAGCCAATACAATTTTAAAATGCTGGAATTCAAATTTTTCTTCAGAAGTAAATGTAGACTTTGAATTTATTTTCCTTTATGTCATTTTTACATTCAGTCATTTGCTTATACCAACAGGAGAGACAAATTCAAAGACTGCCCCGGCGGACACACTCAGGGTCCGCCCCGGGTGCGTAATGGCAAACCGCACATTGAGTTGATCAATGTTAAATGAATTTTGCTTACTGCGCAGGCTCAGAATAGAATTTGGCGCAACTACAACTATTTGAAAAGAAGATAAATGCGGCATATGGTTGATATTGTGTTATCTGGGCGTAAACCGTTCAGGGTTTTAAAACTTGTTAGGCTGTAAGTTGCTTCATTATTTAGAGTGTAACTATCGATTGTAAACTATGCAACTTTTCGTTTAAGAAGGATAACAAAACAGGAAACATTACAAGATATATTAGCTGAATGCTTATTGATTATACTTCTAAGGAATAAAAGCGATTGAGTATTTATCATACGTTCCATTCGTATATACTTTATCAAATTAAGGAATAAATTCAGTTCAAATTACTGAATTAATTTAAATTGCTGAATTAAAGTCAAATAGCTGATATTAACTGTAATATTTATTAAGAAAATTAAAAAAAAAATTAAATGAAACAGAAGCACATCAATAAGCACACAACAAATTTCTATAGTAATGGAATTGTAAAAAAAAAAAAAAAAAGTACACGTCCCCAATGCTCAATAGTATACCGCTGCCGTGTAATTCGGTAACATTGATCAACTCAATGTGCGGTTTGCCATTACGCACCCGGACGTCAAATGTTTTTATCTATGCCACTGGTGATATATATATATATATCATATATTATTATCATATATTTATATCATATAGATATATATATATATATATCACACCTTAAAACTCTGATTTATCATTTAAATTGAGGAAATTTACAGAATTTACAAATCTAAATGAATTCGATGAAGCAGAATTCAGTTTTCTTCTTTCTCAATTTGGTAATTTTTATTTTAGGCTGTGATCCATACGATGTAATTCTACCCGTTGCTTGTGGTGCCAGTTCTCTCGATTCTATACCATTCACCGGAATCCCAGATCACGTCGTTTTCACACATACGCTTGAGAAATCCTGCTACGGCTTAATCGAGTGTTGTGACATAGTGCGATCGCTGCAGTCATATCACGTTGATGTTCTTGGTAAGTTGCTTGTTTATCTTATTTTTAAAGACTTGCTACATTACCAAGTACATATTGCATATAAACATAATTTTTCCCCTTAGCTATCTTCCCTCCCCCCCCCAAGAAAACAGTACTGTATATTCTGGCACACTTGAAATACTGAATTCAAATCCTGAAAATAATAACAAAGGCAAATGCAAATTGGGATAAAATCTGATTCTATGTTGCCTCCACATCATTTCTGAAATAAATGGTGTCATTTTCGATACAGAAAATTTGTAGAGACATTAGGTACTTTTTAGGAAGCAGAAGTCGGGAAAAATGAGCAACCACGGACCTCTGGAATACGCGCCCAGCGTGCAAACCACTACACTACGAAGGCGGGAGAAATAACTTATATACTCCCCCTTTTAAAAAGCGACTGGGGTTTTTAGGAGACCCAATCGCCAAATCCTGGAGGTGGAAAATCATCATCCACCACCCTTTTATTTCGGGCGTCACTGTAGAGTCATTAGGTTATTTTTTAAACAGAAAGAAGTGAAAAATAAACAACGCCCTCGTCGGAAAGTGAACCACGGACCTCTGGAATACGCGCCCAGCGAGCAGACCACTACACTACGAGGGCATGCTAAGAAGGCGGGAGGCGTATTTGCTTCAGCCTGTTAATGGTTTAAAAAGTAAAAGTTTATTGTTCAGATTTTCTAAAGTCTTTGCTATCTATCAAGTAGCCCTTGAATGATTTTTTTTTTGGGGGGGGAGAGGGCAGGGCTTTATAGGTATAAGTTACAGGGGGCCACTTTCTTTTAGAAATTTCTTCAGAAAATATAAAACAAGCAATCTGAAAGCCCTTTCGTTCTCAGAACAAATATCCATTTTACAAGACACAAGTGTAACAAAGCGATTATACATTTGCGTGCGTATGGGTTCGTTAAGAATTGAATGTACAAATCCGATGAAGAATGAATAAAATTTATTATTATCACAAGAAATAAAACAAAAAAATTCTTAAATTCCCTCAGATATTCGTACAATAGCTCAATATCTCGCAGTAGTTATCGTTTAAATTACTAAAAACGTTCAACAGAACTTAATTCAAAACAGAGAAACGTAAAGAAAGCTAATCCGCGAATTCGGTATAGTAAAACAACAGCAGTTTTTTAAACAAAACTGATAAAACCACTAACTAACGAATTGAGAGGTTTTCATGCCGCTTATATAAGCTTTTTAAATGCACGAATGTTCTAGCAATTTCTCGAAATCTAAAAGAGATATTTATTTATTAAATGTTAAATGCATGCGCTCTTGTATTTTAATTTTCCAGCTTTGCTTTCTCTTAATATTCGTCACGCGCTGCACTGCACGGGGAATAAAACAATTTTATTTATAATTCTACTAATATTAGCCATTTAAATACCAAATCCGTAACAATACATTAAATTAAATTAATTAGTGTAGTGTATTACTATTATTTTTCACTAGCCAGTTATTTTATGTTTTGGATTTTTACAGTGACTTCTGGTTTCCGTTTCACTGTGAAAATGTAAATTGGTACTTTTCCGTTTTGCCGGCGCAAGCGATAAAGTCGCCAATAATGGTACAACCGATGCCAAACGGAATATTCTCGCTGGTAACCTTTTACGCCTCATTTTCAAAAGAAGTCGCAACCATTTCTTACCAGATTGCGCCGGCGAAACGGAAAAGTACCTGTAAATTTAGGTAGAAAGAGATTGTATTTTAAAGGAAGGTTTAGAGAGTTAGTTCAAAACATGTTCTGCCTCTCGAGGTCTCGTTACTAGATTGTTGCTAGCTCAGATAAGATTTGTAGTTTTCGGCCTTGAGTTCTAATTGCTGATATATGAATATCTATGCCGGTTAGATTTGTGAGCCAGTTTCGCTTTAAATGGAATTTTTTTTGGGGGGGAGGTGAGAGGGCAGGGCTTTATAGGTAGAGGAGAGAACTTGGGATTACTTTCTTTGACTACTAGCTTATTTCAAATTTGAACTTACTGCTACTTTAAGTTACATCGCCACAAATGGTAACTGAATTGTAAGCACAAGCCCTGCATTTATGTTTAATTTCTGATTTAATAAAAAGGTTTGTTTTAAAATTTTTTTAAGACTCTGTCGTTAATTTTTAGATTCGTAATTCGCTATCAATCTAAGTAGACTTTGGTTCCAGCTCATGATAGTCAAAAATTCCAAACGTTATACTAGGAATGAGTTTCTTATGTTTATCATATTTCTTGAGTCTCCTCACTCCTTCTAGTCCGTTTGAGAAACGCAGGTTATTAAATTGCGTACTGCTGGGTGCCTGGGCATGCTGGAATCAAAAGCAATGAACTCGCCGATATCGCAGCAAAATCTGCTGATATTACCTCTGAAAATGATGTCCCTTTTACAGACATACGGAATTACATCAGAACAAAGATCTTGTCCAGGAGGCAAGAACTCTGGGAATCCAAATTCTGAACAAATTAAGGCACGTAAAACCCAATTTGGAGTATTGAAAGTCGAGAGGGAATCGAAAGGAGGATGTACTACTGACTCGCCTACGATACATCAGTATCATTGCAGACTGACACATCAGTATCTCTTGAAAGGAGATAATAAGGCCTATATGTGGCACTTGCAACTTTCTCGTTTCAGTCAATCACATTTTAACCTGCTGCCCTGCTTTTAGTCAGAAACGTGAATTTTATTTTAACTCTACGAATGTTAACTTTAACAGATCTCGTTGAAAGAAACCCTCACATTAACCTCATAAGATTTTTAAAAGACATCTCTTTTTACCATATGATTTGAACTACATTTTATCCTTCTTTACCTGTTGCTAGAGCATTTCTCAAAGCCATTTCTCCATGCCTTCATCAGTATTTCAGGTTCATTTCATCAATTCACTTGATACGGTGTATTTGTGCATCTTGAATTTTTTTTTCACCATTTGTCTGGCGCATAATAACTCTCGAGGTTAAACTTTTTTCAGCCACGACACCTTTTTATCCCTGAGATTTTTTTCGCGACCCCATAATATTTACAAAAATTTTGTGGGACCCCATAAGTATTGCGCAAATCCGACACACGCATGAGTGAAACTGTCCATTTTTTCACTTGTACTGTAATATTCTATTGCAGTTTTAGGTCATTAACTTTAATTTCTAATTTTAAAACATAGAACAATGTGAAAATTTTAAATAAGTAACAGATGAAATGACAGCGTCACGTGCAAAGAAAGGAAAATGGACGTTTATATTACAAAAAGAATGCGTCGAAACGTTTTCGTTTTTTTCTTTGCGTGTATTTTCTTATCTTTATCTAGTTTCAGAAACATTGTGTAAAAATATTTGGTAATTGCAAAATTATTATAGCAAGTTAAAGAAATATCAAAACTGCTAACATTTTTGGCGACCCCCTTGGGTGTCACGACCTGATCACGACTGATTTAAGAAACCCTGATGCAGACTTCGCCTATCAGAGCAGTAGATATAGATGCTATCATAGCAGTAGGAAATGTTTTTTATTTTATATACTATCCTCCTGATCTCAAATAAGATGAATTTCATTTTTTGAATTTTTTTTTCTTTTCCCTAACCATTAGCCTCATGAAGGTTTAGGGATCTCCAAATCCAGCATGCCCGTGTTGCACGGGCCTACAGTGTGCCCGGATATTTGGAATTACAGGATTTGTCTTAAGAATTTACCAGAACGTTGTGTTAAGACGATCAAGACAAATTGTTTCTGATATTAATAGTTTACGTAAAACTTTCCTTAAAGGCGAAATGGGCTGCCTCCCGCCAGATGACTAATGAGCATAAATTGGCATTTGTGCATATGGACATATACTCAATTAAATTTTTTTTTTCTTGTACAATTTGCGCATATGGATAAATTAGAATTTATGCATTTAAAAATATGCAGCAAAGATATTCAATTAAAATTTTTCTTCTTGTGCAGTCCTCCAAATAACGAAACTGATTTTGAAAGGACTATACTTGATTGGGACAATAAATCACTTGTTCTCCAAGATTTCAATGCCATTTCAACTCGATAGGGATTTTTGACAACAGAATGGAAATGATAGCATTGTTGAATATGTTACTGATTCAAATCCTATCGATTTCATTGAAAATCGTAGAGTTTCTTCAACTTTCCTGTCTTTTGGGGGAATTGTACTTCATCCTGATTTGCTTCTGACCCATCCTGCTTTGTCGGATAGAATACAGCACGATCTAATCGATAGTCCGGGTGTGATGGACTCTCGGATTTGGCTCTCCTGATACGGAGCCTGGTCGGAATTTTTGTAATCTCGAAAAAGAAAACAGGACTAACTATGAGGCCCTCACTGATGGACATATTACTAGCTTTCTGATTTTGCCAAATCTGGAATATATTTCTAAACGTTTTTTGCTCGCGGTTTTTAAATGTCCCTCTCTTTGTATCCCAAGAGGACAGCAAAAGAAAGATGCTCCTTTTTGGAATGAAAATCTGCAGAAACTCAAGAATGACAAAGATAAAGCTCGCCAGAGGTTTCATTAAGAGCACTTTGTGAGGCACTTTCGAATCTAAGCGCTCTGCATTTTAAAAACTTACAGGGTCTAGTATTCTTAGGAAGCATACACTAACGATTTCTAAGAAGACTGTAGAAGAAGCTGGTGTGATTTCTGAAAGGGTTTTTTGAAGACATAGATGAACAGCTGGAACAATAGTCCCCTTAATCTCAATAGATAAAGGATGGCTTTCAGAGAAAGCAATGTACCCTTGCTGTATTCGTAGATTTCAAAAATGCTTTTGATAAAATTTGGAGAGTTGGATTGTTTAGAAGTCTGATTTCCTGTGGCATTTCTAGCAGCTTATATAAATGAATTAAAAGTTTTCTTGAGTGCGATTTATAAGTGTTAAATATAGTCAAAATGTGTCGGGTATAGACAAACAAAACAAGGTTTATCCCCAGAGAGTCCTATTCATTATAATGTTATGATAATAGACTTAATTGACAATATTCTAGATCTGTCCCGGGCATTAATATCTTGTTAATTTCTGATGATATAGGATAAGGGCTACTGGAATCCAACTTTATGGGCTGGAGAGTCTCTTACAACAGACTTTAAATGTTCTTAACACCTAGACTCTTGAAAATAATATAGTAGTACATACTGAAAAAAAACTACATTCTAATCGTTCATTTTTAGTACTAAATACCATGACATTCACCTTCATTATAATAATTAAGATCTAAATAGAATATATGATTTTATTTACTTTGGCATTAATTTAGACATAAAATTATCCTGGAAAAAACAAATAAATGCAGTCATTGATCAGAGAAATTTGTCATCTAAACTGCTGAAACGTTGTAGAGACATTAGGTTAATTGGAAAAGCTGTAGAGATGAAAAATGAGGAATCACCTTCACAAGGAATCGAACCACGGACCTCTGGAATACTGGCCCAGCGTGCAGAACCACTACACCATGGAGGCACGCTAGGAAGGCGGGAGAAATATCTTATACACTCCTCCTCTTAAACGGTGACTGGAGTTTTTAGGGGACTGAATTGCCAAATCTTGGGTGAGGAGACTCATCGTCCAACACCCTTTTAGTTCGGGCGCCACTGTAGAGACATTAGGTATTTTTGGAAGCAGAAGAGATGAAAAATTAGCAAACGCCTTTGTCGGGAATCGAACCACGGACCTCTGGAATACGCGCTCAGTGTGCACCACGAAGGCATGCCAAGTAAGTGGGAGAAATACCTTCTTATAACGTTTGACTGGTATTATTACTTGGGGTGCGACCCGAGATGTTTTATGTACGCCTATAAAAGTTATATACCTCCTTTGTTGAATATGATGAGGTTCTTATTACTGTCTCATTCTCTTAGAAACAAGCTGGATATTTTCCAAAACAACAGGATGCAATTAATCACTGGTTTCACAAAATCGATTCCTATTGTTGCTATGGAATTACAAACAGATTTGGAGTTTTTAAGTGAAATGTGCCAAAAAAATGCTATAAATATTGTTGAAAAAAAAATTTTTTTTTATAAATTGCTATAGACCAGCAAATGAAAGATTAGACTCATAAATTCTTCCTTTCAACTGTATATGAACTGTATAAAACCTGACGATAACCCTACACCCAATTATCAGGTTTTCTAACAGGAGTGGAATCCCGTTTTAAATTTAGATAAGCTGGAAAAACACCTGGATCTTGTTTGGAATGTGAACAAGCACCTTTCCACTCCGAATGAGTTAAAATACTGTTCTGGTTACCATAGATTACGGGTAACCTCCATACAAGTGATTCAATCTTTACGCAGATAGTTCAGCAGAAAATGCGGTTAAAAATTACGGCTCTGGAATCCATTCAGGGAATTAGCAGGCAGATAAACTTGCCAAGGCGGATCCCTTATGGTCTAATCTAATTCCTCTTTGCGTAATATTAAAAAAAATTACATATAACAAAATGAAAAATGGCAGAATATCCTTATATGCCGATGCAGCAATGGATAAGAAGTGGAATATCCTGCTCGACAAAAGAAATAAAGAACCACATCCTTACCTCAGGCTATTGGAATTGCTTGCTCTTGTTTGACAACGGCCATGATTATTTACATAGGATTAGATCAAGTATTCAGTTTGTTGCTTTCTGTGTCATTAGGATGGTGATCACCTCAAGAACTGCTTTCTTATTTTAAAGTTTATAACAGGAAGAACTTCTCTATGGAAGCTAATTTTTATCCTTATTTTACTTTTTACACTCGGATCATTTTATAGGGCTGCTTGTCGACTAATAACAGAAATGCATTTTATAGGGCTGCTTGTCGACTAATAGCAGAAATGCCGAAGATGGGTGCAGGATAAATACTATGCCCTTTCTTTCCATGCTTTGGCCTAGCTAGACTGCTGTCTGTCTGCTGCTGCTTTTTTGCTACAAAGTTATCAAAAATAATAAAACTGAAGAATTATTCTGCATTCGCTTCCAATTTCCTAGTTATTATGGATCAACACTTGTATATCATCCAAATTCATATATATTTGGAATGATATGTCTAACTGATGTTCAAGGGCTTAATTCGTGGTTACGTTAACAAGATATGCAAATTTTACAAATTCGAAAAAAAGAAAAAAAAAAAAATTAAGTATTTCGGATTTTATATTACTCCAAAAGGGGCGTTTTCTTCATTTGCACATACATATACGTTTCAAGAGCATCTCGAGAGCATTTGGGATAAAAATATTTAAAAACAGCATATCTTTGAAATTTCCAACAGAGAGTCTCGTGGGTTGAAGATAAGTATCTTATTCTGTACAGTGTTGCCACTGCTCGCTTTGAAATTGTCGAGTTTTTTAAATTAAAATTTCGTTAAAGTTTTAGTTCGGTCCGAGGTTCGAATTCCGCGAACGGGCTGGCTGCATGGGTGTTTTTGTGGTTTTCCCCATGTGTAACGTGTATACAAGCCAGTTCCCTTAAAAAGTCCTCCACGAAGGCATCCCTTCCCTTAGGCAGATAGCCCTCGAGGCTTTGCCATAATTAAATAACCTAACCGTTAAAGTTTTAGAAAATGTGAAATGTACGACAAATTCAAAATTCGAATTTCGGGCTTCCAGGAGCGCATATTCAGTTGGAGGACTATGTTATTCAAAATTTGATGGCTCTAGATACCGTTGTCTTTTTACTTTCATTCATGCAGATGCTCCTTTATTTAATATCTTTAATTATAACACAGTGCGATAACATTTGGTGGCAACAATCTGAAAAGTGATTCAACGCTTTTAGTGATTTGACGCAAAAGGCCGTTTCGAGACTAGTGGACCTTCCGAGCTAAAACAAAATTGTTTTAAAGTTAAGAGTAAATAAAAATTGGTAGATCTTTTTCTAAATTATTACATTATTCTTCACTAGAATGAAAAGCTTTTTAGAGTACTCTAAAAATCGTTTGAGTTAGTATGTAAAAAGAACATCTGTAGTCGCAGTACAAAAGCTTAAAATTTGTGTGCTGTAGGAATATACTTTCCTGAAAACAGCACAAAAGCAAAACGAATAATTTATTTATATTTATACTAAATAACTGCATCAATTATAAAATGCAGCACCATTATTAATTGACTTGAAACAGTTCTTCAAACATTGTTTTATTTCTTTTAAAATGGCAACTTTTTTTTTTCTGCCTGCATTCTAACAGGTGCCTTCTATTGACATGAAGTATAACGATCCTTATGATATATACTGCTTATCTTAAAACAAAAATGTACTGCATAATAATTTGCTTCATATAAATATTTTGCAACGTTAGAATATTATTGCTATTAAAACTTTTACCTTTTAGATTGGTCGAACATTGGTTTCAACTTTTTAATCGGAAATGATGGACGAGTGTATGTAGGTCGAGGATGGAATCAAGTAGGCCAGTTCTCGACTCATTACAATGAGAAATCTCTGTCTGTTGCTTTTATAGGTAATTACTACGAGAAACCTCCAGAACGTAAAGCTTTAAGTACCGTCAAATCCCTACTAAAATGTGCAGTTTTTAAGGTATGTTTGTTACTTTTTTTGCTATTACATTTTTCGTAAATTACCAAATATATAACACTTAAAATTAATTTCTAGAAATAAATTTTAAAAAAATATCTAAAATTAATCAACATAAATATATTAGAGATATTTACATCATATTTTTAAACATATACACATTTCTATTTTCAACATTCGATTACAATAAATTTCATTTGGTTTTAATGTTTGATGAAATTCCTAATTATCTCCAGAAATCAATTATTAATTCCTTTGAAAATCTTGTGATAGTAAATCTGTAAAACGATATGTGATTTATTTCTTTTTAGTCCAAAGGGGCAATTATTTTCATTTTGGCATTTTGCGTCGATTCACGATAAGCGTTGTTTCACTTTTCAAATTGTTGCCACCAAATATTATCGCCCTGTATTATATTTAAAGAAATTAAATAATGAAGAATCTTCATGAATGTATGTATGTTTCCCGCATTGTGATAAAACAATGGTACCTAGAGCCATCCAGTTTTAAATAACGGAATCCCCTTGCCAATATGGGCATCTAGAAGCTCAAATTTGAAATTTATCTTATTATCGATTTCATATTTTGTAAAACTTTAACGACTTTTTGATTGACAAACTCAAGAATTTCAAAGCAAGCAAATGGCAAGGTTGTACAGAAAAAAAAATTCAACTCCAGGGCGCGAGACAAGAAAAACGAAAGTTGAATGTAGTCTTTTGGCCCAGTAGAGCGGGAGATGACTAGCAGGACTATTAATTTCGTTTTGACATTTTGTGTTGATTCACTTTTCAAATTGGTGCCACCAAATATTAGAGCCCTGTATTAGATTTAAAGAAATTAAATAAAGAAGAAGCTGCATGAATGTATGTACGTTTCTCACATTTTGATAACACAACGGTACCTAAAGCCATCAAAATTTGAATAACGTAATCTTCCATAGAATATGGGCATGTGGAAGCTCTAATTTGAATTTGTTTTATTATCGATCTCATGTTTTGTAACACTTCAACGAATTTTTTATTAATAAAATAAACGATTTCAAAGTGAGCAATGCCAACGATGTATGAAAGAACATTTTTATCTCCGGCATGCGAGACTGTATCAGAAACTCTAAGGATATGCTCATTTTAAAATTATTTTGCGATGTTGCTGTTGAAGTGAATTTTATGGTTTGAGTACGTAGAACATAATATTTAATAAAGGTAACACATAAAACTTTTAAAAAACACCCCTTTGTCCATAATTTAAAACCTGAATCCTTTTCAGACTTTTTTTCTCTTTTTATTATAATGATCTCAAGAAATGAATAATAAAATTTTCAGCAGCATCGAAGTTGTTTTCCAGTGCAGTTCATAGCAAAAGCAGAATTCTCAGTAATATTCTTTTTTTCGAAATAGTATCGGCGTTGAAATCAAGTTTTTCACTTTTCGATTTGTGGCACTTGGCAAAAAAGAGCCAATGATACTTGTGGCTAATCCGTGTATTTTTTCAATACCTACGACAAAAGATATTAAATACATGGTATCTTGATTTGTTACCACTTAGTCACTTAACTTAACTAAGCTCTAAATAACTAACTCTATTAATGAATACATCATTAAATACAAATAAGTTCTCTGGCCTTTTAGCCTGCTAGAATCAAATTCTCATTATATATTTTTACTCTTGCTACATTGCTCTGTATTCATGCAGTAAAAAAGAAAGGCTGCCCTTTTTAGCTTATGTTCATTTAAGAAAATCAGAAAAATTCATATTAGTTAATATCTAAATAATTTATATTTTATCATGCAAGAAATATTAGGACTGCTATTTGAAAATTTTAAAATAAGATGAAATTTGCCATGATTAAAAAATTCAGAAATAAAATACCTTACAAAAGAAATTCTTAAAAATGACAGAAAATATCTTTCTAGCATGTACCCGATCTGAATTTTAGTTGTTCAAAACTATGTCTTGTAACGATTCTCAGTTTTGATGAAACATCAGGTGCACTTCCTGTTCTCGTGGGAACTTAGCGAGTGTGCGCTTAAACGGCCAGAAAGTAATCAAGAGAAAAAAAATAGAAAAAAAAAAAAAAAAAAAAACCTGTTAAGGACACCTCCCCCTTGTGATGCAAACAAAAAATTAAAGGAAGGGGCTTTTTATCTCAGAAATGCCGTAGGTATAAGCCCCATCATGCGACTGTATGATCTGAATATGCGGAAGCTGTGTCTTTCTTTTCGGTACTGTGCTGATGTTTCACATTTTATTTAACCAAGAAATCTTTGTTTAAGTTTAAAATAAATATTAAAAGACCACTGGTCTGATTATTTTCCATCTCAAAAGCTCGCTTACATTACAGTCTGTTTGATATTTTTTCTAAATAATGAATTTTTATGTGATGTGTTTCTTTTTCTTAATCTAAATGAAATAGTATTTAACATATAATAACAGCATAAAACCACAAAAGAAGTGCTCTGACGTTCCGAAAAATGCTTCCAGTTTATTTGCACAAAACATATTTTCTTCACACTGTATCTTTTGGTATATAATATATTTGCACTAAACTGATTTATTTATTAGCTTTATAGACTTTAATGCTGATGCATTCTTCCAGTTACAGAGATTTTCAGAATAATTTGAAGACAGCTAGCTATGAGAATGGGATAGTTTTGATAAAATAAATTTAACTTTTTCTATATAGCTTCCATACAGAAAATGTACCAATCAGCAAAATTTTATGCATTAATCTGTTAAAATAAGTTCTATTCATTTATGTTCAAACTTTGCAGTTATTATTGCTTAATCAATTTATGACTATCATTATTAGTTGATAAATTTTCTTTCAAATCTCTGAGGAATTTAAGATTGACATTTGGTACAGCCAATTAACACTTACAACAACTTTTTATCTAGTTCTGAGGTTCCCTCAAAGAAATTGGTACCATACTATACAGATTGGTACACAGTTTCCATGGTGATCAAACACCAAAAAAATGCATCTTTGCATGCTTCTATGCATCTTTAAATAATGCTCTTAGATTCCAGTCAGTATATCCATCTCTAAAAGCACCATAAATGCATGCAAAACCACAGGACCCAATATCTGACAGTCATTATTAGTCAAAAGGGGCTTTGTCCTCAGGGACTATTGTTTTCGTTTTGCACCGAATCACTCAACTATTGCCACCAAATATTTATCGTCCTGTATTATATTTGAAGAGATTAAATAATGAAGAATTTGCATAAATGTATGTATGTGTTCTCTCATTGTGATAAAACAACGGTACCTAGAGCCATCCAATTTTGAATGACATAATCTGACTGTGGATATGGGCATCTAGAAGCCCAAATATGGAATTTGTTTTATTATCGGTTTCATATTTTGTAAAACTTTTAAAGAATTTTTGATTAACAAACTCTACGATTTCAAAGCGAGCAATGGCAACGTTGTACAGAAAAACATTTTTATCTTCAGCATGCGAGACTGTATCGGAAATTCTAAAGATTGCTCTAAAATTATTTTGGGATAGTGCTCTTGAACTGAATTTTGTGGTTTACGTGCAAAGAACATATTTAATAAATAAAAGCAACACACAAAATGTTACAAAAATGCCCCTTTGGATGTAATTTAAAATTTGAAATATTTCGGATTTTCTTTTTTTATTTGCTAAATTTTCTTTCAAATCTCTGAGAAATTTAAGACTGACATTTGGTTCATCCAAGGACACTTCTAGCAACTTCTTCTTATCTAGTTCCGAGGTTTCCTCAAAGAAACTGGTATGATACTGTACAGATTGGTACACAGTTTCCATGGTGTTCAAACACCAAAGAAACAGCAAATTTCTTTCAATTCTAGATGTTTTAAAATTAGTTTCTTCTGCATATTCCTATCACTCTTTGTATTCCGATGGCAGAATTTTTATCATGTTTCAAAAAATCCTCATTAAAAACAATCAAGCCTAAACTGGAATCTGTTTATGTTATAAATTTGTACATATCGAAATAACAGTGCGGCATACACTTGCCAACATCCAGATGTTCAGAAATAATCAAAACTTTCAACAGAATATATAGTAAGCCAAAGTGCAAAATTTTAGAACCTTCAAAAAGCTCATTATTAAAAATTATTATTTTTTAAAACTACTATAGCCAGTTAGTTATTTTGATAATAAGCAGTAAATTTGGAAAGTAAATAATTAGTAAATTTGTAGAATTTTATTTCTAATGCCCATATGGATGCCTGGATTCAGGAGGGACCTCGAAACAGTTTAGGACCTTAGTTCACACAAATCATGTTCTGAGAATATGCAGTGTTCTGTTGTTGTTACCTATCTTATTGTGAGTAGGCAGTTCTGAGGAAATTTTTCATCCATTAAAGTTTCAATCATTGTGTCAGAAATGACTTTTTCTAAAACCTAAGTTCAACCCCTCACGATAAGTAGTATGTAATGTGGCACCGACTAACTCGAAAGATACCTGAAAGCAGACTATGAATTCTGAAGATGATACAGCATTAAAAAAAAAAAAAAAAAAAAAAAAAAAAAAAAAAAAAACACTGAAACTAAACTCTAACCATAATCAACTATATATTCTGTAAAAATGGAATTAACAATATATAGCAGGTAACTAGTATTAGTACAACTTTCAATGTACCTATAAGAAAATTCTGACCCAGTCTTACCCTGACATATTTTTTTTTCCTCACCTGCACCTACAGGTTAAAATAGTTCTTATCTTTTACAACACACTTTTATCAACGAATAGAGAAAATGATTCTTTAAAGGATATCAATTGTCCTTGAGATATTGTACTTTCACGCAAAATTACTTTGTTTAAGCCCCCTAAAAATCATCAAATCTATTTAAAAAAATTATTTATACTTCTGGCATTACAAAATAAATTTTCTATTCATTTTCATTTTAAATGAAATTAGAAAAAAAAAAATGGAATTTTCCTGTGACAATTTTTAAATTTAGTTATTTTTATTTAGAAAATTTTATTTTCTTAGCAAGCATAAAATGTGTGAAACATCAAAGACAATAATTGGTCAGTCTTGTAAGGTAGAACGGAAATTGAGAAAGGGAGTAAAGAATTCAAATAAAAGTTGATAGATGGCACCACTCGTGCTTACAAAACATAGCCAGCAGTTATGGCTAAAATCAAAGATAATGAAATATCTAAGTACAAATATGTAAACTTAATGGCTACACAATTCGAGTAATGTAACAGTTGGCTCTGATCAACTTGTATGCATCCCAACAACATATCTCTTGTAGGTATTGCTGTCCCAATGACAACATCGCAGAATACTGCTTGGAAGAAAATCAAATTAGCTACCTAGCCTTCAGCAGGCACTGTTCTGTCCTGATTTCCTCTTAACCTTCCTTTAAATACTTTCTTCTACCTCATTTGAGTGTCACAGGAAGTAGAAATTTACATTCTGGCAGGAAAATGGAAATGAGGAGAATAGGAAAGCTGATTGACATAAAATAACTGGTTAAAGAACTAAAATGATACCTTACAAATTACTTGATAAAATTTCATGGGTAATCGTTTTTTCTTTTGGTCCTTAGATGATTGTTGTATTACAAGTTGACTGTAATATTTCATTACTTTTCCCATGCTTTGATAGCAAAAATTAAATACAATTAATATTACAGTAAAGCATTATAAAAAAAGTAATATGCAATTAATGCCTCAAAAACTTATTCAAATTTTATAATAACTGGTCTATAAATATCCATGTCATTTCTTTAAAGCATTTATGCTTATATTTACCTGTCAATTATGTTGATAATTAAAAGTAATTTTCATTGATTACTAATAAATAATTTATTCTAAAGAAGATAAATTATTCACTTTAGATGTCCTCAGTTACTGTACAAGTTTTCATCACTTCATATGTAAGGTTGCAAACTGCAATAAAATAGCATTTGTCACAGGAAAAAAAAATTCCATTACAATTAAAATAAATAAATAAATAAATAAATTACAAAAACAACAATTAAAAAAATTGCAATTAGTTCTAATTTCACAATAATTTGATTTCTCATGTCCCTAATCTTTCAGAAGAGACTGGCTATGAATTACACTCTCCATATGCATGAAGATCTTGAATGCTCATCTAACCCAGCTCCAGGTCTAAAACAAGAAATAACTACATGGCTTCATTATGAAGGAAAAGCTGCAGACTATTTAAGGTGTTAACTTTCTGATGATATCATCTATATGTTAGTAAATATGAAAAATAGTGAAAATATTGCTATTAAAATGAAACAGAAACCACTGTCGCTATTTTTTTTTTTTTTTTTTTTTTTACACTGAAACTAAAAGTAAACATCTACAAGCTAAAAACATATTTTATTTACACATTTCAAGAATAAATAAATTATTTTATTGCAAATTAGGTAACATATTCATATATACAATAGATAGAGATATCATGCATTATATTCCACAGACCTAGATGGATCAGTTGGGAAAAATCTTTGACACTGAGTCATGAGTCGCTTGAGAGCCTAAAAAAATTTATCAAACAAAAGATTAAAACCAAAATAAAACCAAGAAAAGTTTAATAATTAAAAAAAAACTGTAAATCTTCAAAAATACACAGAAATTTAATATTTTGACCGACCAGAAATTAAAAACCAATGCTCCCTTATAATTGCATATACCTTGAAATTTTATGGTTGCCATATTTTGTGAGATAGACATAGAGTTTCCGAAATTGGCATTACTTGTGAAATAAATGATTCTGTAAAAATTATTTTATTAGTAGATCTTTGTCTCCTTACACCCTCCTCCCAAAGAATACCGTTCACATAGAACCTGGCATGCACAAAAATTATGCAATTAATTGAATCTAGCAGCTTTTCGCATACTCTCTACTGAAAAAATGCACAAAGTGATATCACGTGAATAGTGTAGTCTGTATTATAGAGATAACAGAGTGAAAGGCTCTCTCTCACTATTCAGTGCAGCATTACATTTCAAGCAAAAGATCTTCAGTTTCTTGCATCAAAACTAATTCCTGTGATGCTATAACCACTTTACTTGAGAAATTTTCCACCCTCTGATCCTACTTGTTCTCTCTTATGAAAGGTATTCTATGGGGCTGATGTTTTCAGATAATTTAAGCCATCCAAAATGATGCAACAGCCATTTTAATAAGAAATATCAAAAGAGGCATTCTACTAATATTTGTAGAAAAATCAGAACCATGGGAGCTAATATGTGCATGTCCATGAACACTGCTTTTAAGGTGGATAGGAAATAATTTTTTTGCTACTGCCCTCCAAGCATTTTCGGTGAACCTTTTCAGTATAGAACTCGATCTGTAATAATCTGCAGATCAGAAGCACAGTTTAATCTTGCTTCTGTTAGCTTATCCTTTGCTTTTGGCTTTATATTACTAAAAAAACTGAGTTGATTTTTAAACTAAGATAGCATCGGTACATTAATATCATTAATAATATTTACAGATTAATATTAAAATTTGATTACTTCTTAAAGAAATTAATTGGCAAAATATAAACAATCAAAACAGATATACAACAAAAATCTTTTTGACAATTTAACTTATTGCTCAAGTAAAAGTGACACATATAGAGAAGACTTCATTTCTTTAAGAGAAAGCATTTTTAATGCAGAACTTTTGAAAAGATAAAAAATTTTGAATTCATTTTCATTTTGTACATTTTGTTTTTCTTTTTTTTTTTGTTTGATTACTTACTCAAATCTAATTTAATAAATTGCTTTTCAAAAAGTTGCTAGAGCTTGGTAGCTCGGTCACAAAGGATTTTAAAATTAACAAAATTTCAGATTGCTTAAAAAGTGTAAATTTGTCACTGAAAGAAATTATAAATACTAATTACAGAAAAGAATTAGCATTAAACTAAAAATCTCCACATAAATGAAATTTACAGATCTATAACATCCCTGAAGTGTATCCCATAAATTCATTAATGTATACGGTTTAAACACCCAGACATATCTAATTAAAACATGTGTGTGGAAATTTACAATAGGAGAAGTAAGATGACAATTAGAAGTATGCAAATAAAATGTAAAAACTAATAAAAAATAATACCTGAATAAATTTCCTTTGTGTCTCATCATTCAAAACATCTAAAAAAAGGTTAAGGTAAATTTTTGGGGAAAAAAAATCTTTAGCCTGAGCCATAGCTAGGGTTTTTTTCAGCACATGGGGTCAACTGAAGATTTCACTACCCCCCTCTTGTTTGCCAAGAATGGAAAACCTTTCCTTCTGAAATTTCTTAACATCAACTTAGCGGCCCCTACATGCTGTGCCTGGGGACATATGTCCCCCCTTTCTACCCCTAAGCTATGATTCTGCCTTCAGCTCAGAATAGAAATTAACTGTAATTCGACTGAAACTTATTTTAAAAAAATTTTGGGGGTGATAACATCTGAAATTGATTTTTCTGGCAACTTAATTTCTCATTACAAAAATCTATATAAAAAAATATTTTCTAGAAAGGAAAAATGCATTTTTCAATTCTCCAATATATATATAGATTAAAAAAAAAAAAAAAAAAAAAAGCAAGCACAATTTTTGAAGTGATTTCAGTCTACAAATTGAGCAGTCAGAGGGTTGTTTGACAAAATATGATTAAATATGCCAATGCAAACTGTTTGCATAAATGATATTTACGGTGGAGGGAAACTTTTGTTAAAAACCAATACAATATTTGCTCACAATTTAATATTGTTTTGCTCAATTTTCATTCATATTTACTTAAGTGATATGTTTATTACATTCAAGATAAAAGGATACGAGCAATATTTTTTGAGAAGATTTTTTCTCTGCCAGTCCTAGCATGGATGCCCACCATGGTCACTCCAATGGGCCATGGAGCATTTCCAATAGCCATCTGTAGGTAAGCATCATTTGCCTAAAATTTTATTAAGTTCATTTAATTAAGTAAGTCAAAGCATTTTATTAAGTTCATATTACTTTACATACATGAAACTAAATTGAAAAGCACAATTTTTAAAATTAAAGAGCCCAAAGAATGCATCTAAAACCCCATAATGTTTAAAAACTGAGGGGAAAGACCACAACAATAAACAAATAATAATTAACTTATTGAATTATTAAATGAATTGCTTATAATTTTTACATAAAAATAAACTGTAGAATTTATTTAAATGAATATTCTGTAACTAAATAAAATATTCAACTACATTTACTTAAGACACAATAACACGCCGAATAAATACTAATTCAGAAGTCAAACAACAAAAATCAGCGTTATATTTACAAAATTTCATTTTTTTTTCATTTACAAATTTCTGTGAAAATTTTGTAAATATAACGCTGATTTTTGTTGTTTGACTTCTGAATTAGTACATTTACTTTTAACCACCTCTTGGTTGGAATTTTTTTTCCTTTCCCCCTTTTCTTCTTTTTGCCCTTTTTTGTATTTTCAATCCAAAAAAAGTACTTTTTTTTAATTGTTGAAAATTAATATATGGTTTACCCCAAATTAAAAAATGCAATTTTTTTTTTTTTTTCTTTTTCCCCCAGTAAGTAAGCAGTTTTTTGCTTGACCTACTTGTAGTCATACATATTGCGTGATATCCCGTTCAGTGATCTCCAGTTTTCCCTGCAGTGCCTCTTAATAATCTATATCTGCATAAAAGAAATGATTAAAAATGTGTAAAATGTTTTAGAAAATGGTTTTACAACATTACTGTGAAAAACCACTTTACAATCTTCTTCGCCAATGACATCATGGTGTTTCATATTGAATGCAACAAAAAGTTTCAATATCATGGTGTTTCATATTGAATGCAACAAAAAGAAGAGTATAAGTACAAATTCTGTATTGATTTATTAAACGAAAACAAATGAATTCTGAAACTGCAACTACACAAATTTTACCTGGTAATAGCGAACAATCTTTTGGTTACGAAATCACAGCTAGAGGCACTATTAATCAAAATAGTACCATCCATGTAGGAGAAATATGCTATGTTTTGGAATATGGCAAAATATCATTGTTTATCATTGTTCAAAGATATTTTTGCGTACAATTTGGTAAAGAACCACTGCATTGTTACAACATTGAACGGTGGATGAAGCAGTGTCAGGACACTGAGTGCTCGTGTAAGAAAACAGCCCAGGATGAACAGCAGCCAAAACCGAAGTGGTTAAAAAATTTCGTGAAACGTTTGTATCAACACACAAAAAACATCAATTTGCCGTGCAAGTTGTAAACTCAATGTGCTTCATGTAATGATGTGGTATGTGCTATGGAAACATCTGCAATTCTGGTCCTACACCTTTCACATGGTGCAGGCACTAAAATCTCCTGACAAACCCTGCATAAAGTTTTCTATAAGAACTTGCACTATAAGCTGGAAATAGATTGTTTCAAGAACAGACTTCTGTTTATGAATGAAGCCACTTTTCATGTTTCTGGCAGTTAATTACTATATTTTACTATTTTGGCGCATAGAAAATCCACATGACATAATGGAAGATGGGCATGATTCTCCAAAAGTGCACCATTTCCAAAAGTTTTGTTTTGGTCTTTTTTTCTTCATGAAAAAAATCTATTAACAGATACATTTACCAACATATGCTATTAGAGTGGTTGTTCCCTCAGTTGGAGTTCAGTTCCCAGCTTCATTCTGCAGTTAAGATGGTGTTCCACCATATTGGCATAAAAACCTTTTGTGATTTTTTCCTACAAGGAAACTTACAGCAACTGAAACACAGGATAACTGTGCTAACAAAGGTCAACCATGAGTGTGGCAGGAACTGGAATACTGCATAAATATTTGCTAAGTCATTGGAGGGGCACACATAGAACAGCTATGGAAATTGTATAACTATAGTTTCAATGTAAATTTGATTTATAAAAATAAAGTAATTACAGCATTCATAGGTATACTTCTTTTTGTCCCATTCAATATGAAACATCCCATACAATGAGGCATATAAGTACTGACAAATTTACTGTCAACAATGCAATTGTTCTGTTTGTCACATGAGATGTGATGTCAACTATATCAAAAAGGCCTAATGGGTGACTCATGACACCCATCAAGAAGGTATAAATCTTAAAATCAATGTACAGATAATCAGAGCAGCTGTCTATTCGCTTCAAAGTGATACAATTTTGATGAATATTAATTAATCAAAATTAACTGCACATTTATTTCAAAAGGCAGCTGAATTTTATTTTCATTTATTTATTTCTCATTTGCAACTTAATTTTCTTTTTGCACAAACTTAAAAACTGCAAGAAAATTTCAAAATAGTCTTTAATATTTATTAAATGTATTGCTTCAAACCCATCATTTTCATCATATGTTTCATCTTATAATAGGTTTTCTTTCAGGACATAAAATATATACAGAATATACTAATGGCTAAACTTTTTGGAGCTAAAATCATAATAAAACGTAGAATCTTGTTATGCAAAGATAGAATGCTTAAAATATATTTTAAAACAGCCAAATATATACAATTCCAGTGTTTAAGATCCACACAGTATCAGATCTCTTAACAGCTTTACTGGTTAATGAGTTACTCCAATTTGACAATGCACATAAAACCCAAAAACCTATCTGTCAAAAGTTCTGACATTTTCCAGCAACTTTCCTACCAGTTAAACCATTATTATCTTATTATTAATTACTGCCCTTTTCTGAGTTCCATTTGTTTATAAACTATACAACTAGACCTTTCACTCACCAAACAGGGCTGATAAAGGTAAAAAGTGTAGTACAGTCAAAAGTCGTCAGCACTATCCTTATCTTCAGGGCAGATGTTTTTATTTTATTTGGCTTATAATTCCTTACTAAATGCAGTATTTCATTTCGATGTACTCTGTCTTTGATATGATTTAAATCAAGTTCCTCGTCATTATAATTCGCTTCCGATAGTGACGCAGCGCGCAATGAATTGGAAGTTGATCTGTCAGCACTATCCTTATCTTCAGGGCAGATGTTTTTATTTTATTTGGCTTATAATTCCTTACTAAATGCAGTATTTCATCTCGATGTACTCCGTCTTTGATATGATTTAAATCAAGTTCCTCGTCATTATAATTCGCTTCCGATAGTGAAGAAAGTGACACAGAGGTTATTGAAAACGAAAAAATTTCGATTGACAAATTAGTCGGTATTCTCGACACAGCAATTATAGGACTTGAACAGCGGAACTTTGTAACTAAACAAGAAATTATGTTTGCTTAATAGAATTAAAGAGAAAGTATTATCACATGAAACGAAGCAACTTAAACAACTTACATTGAAAGAAATGTTTAATAAAGTAAACAAATAAATATTAAGATTTTTTTTTTTCTAAATTTTGATACCCTTTAGATCATAATTGTTCTTTATTTCATAAATTACAGTTTCATATTTTTAATTTTATAATTTCTGCATGCCATCTTACCAGATTTAAACTGATGATCTATAATCCCGAAAAATCGATAATTCGAAGTCCCGACGAGTCCGGATTAACGACTTTTGACTGTACAGAAAATATTTAGAATCTGGACACTGCAACTTGTTTAAAACGAATTATGTTAACTGAACTGAATGAATACGAAATTTCAATTCTAGTTTTCATTAGATTATGCAAACTAGCTTTACTGATGCGAAAAACTTAAATTCTGCAAATTCAAAAAGGGAAGTGGAGAAAGAAAAAAACGAAAAGAACTTAACTAAAAAACCTTTTGCAGAAGCTTGAGGAATTCTATGGACTACCTTAAACACAGAATCTCTAATTTAATAAGCAGAGAAAAAAGAAATGCATTTCATTGCTTGTAAATACAGGAAAAGTATGTTTTGATAAGGATAAAGTGAAGTCTTAGTGTACTAAAAGCAAAAAAATCCTAATACTGACTCATTCTGCAGTAACAAACATTGCAAATAGCTCAGCAATTAAGCTAAAAGCCCCCAGCATCATTACCAGCAATGGATCCAAAGATTTCAGTCAAGGCAGATTTTATCATTAACAAAAAAACGGGGGGAGATTTACCAGTGTGCATCATGACACTTTTTCCCACTGGAACTGAGCTGTTAATTTCAAATCTCTTAATAAGACACAGCTGTTCAGTTTTTTTGAAAGATATATATATATATAATATATTAAAAAAATCATGTATTATTAATTTCTTCAAACAATAATTTCACATAATTTTTATTTAATTAAAATTTCTGTGCCAAGTTCAACATAGATAAAAACATGTAAATAATTTTTAAACATAATTTTACTAGTTATTTAAATTTTAAATACATAAATTATTATTTAACTTATATATTGAACATTTAAAATTATGAATTAATATGAATATTTATTTCTTTACACTGACTCCAAAACATTCTTATGACACTGTTGCAATGCTTAGCCTGCAATTGAGATCCCACAGCTCATAACTTTTGCCATTTCTATACAGACTACCTATGAACAAAGTTTGACTCCATAACAATGTGCAACTTCACTTATTACAATATTTAATTTAGGATGCTATAAATAAAATTATCTCAACAAAGTTATAATTGTTCCTAATTTTCTACATCTACTTCATTTGAAGCAATTTTAAAGCCTTTCTAGTATTTTAGATAATTTATTCACTTTCTAAATACAAAATTTTAGTGTACTGAACTGGAATTGAGAAACAAAACATTTTATTCATTTCCATTAATATAAGAGGAAAAAAAAACTAAAAGTAAATATTTACAGTTCTTGTTTTAGAGATAAAACACAAAGCATAAAAATACACTGCATCAAAAATTCATCACAAAATTTAAAAGATGAACAAATACAAAAATAAATGAGTAAAAAAATAATCATATATTTACTTTTACATAATTCCTGTCCAGCATATAGTTAACAATAAGAACCAAATGCTCCAAAATATCTTCAGGACAATTTTCTTTTTTAAGCCTGCGAAATAAAGGTCGGATATAATCTTGAGTTTGTGTATAGGTGGCAGAAGCCAGTTTTCCTTTCATTGATGTTTTCTCAACTTCAGGTCGAGAATTTAGCTTTTGGCCCCATAGCTGCAGCAAAAACTATAGAAGAAAGAAACACATGTTATTCCAAAACTTAATTAGAATCATGTTAAAAAAAAACTCTAAATTATATTAAGATTTACTTCATTTTTAAAAGTTTAATGCAAAGATCAAGGAATGTTTAATTATGGCATTCCTATGATATATGTCTCTTATAACATGGTAAATTTCATTTTATTTTTGATTTTATGATACAGTATAAGATTTATAAATATACATCCAATTTTTCAAGTTAAAACTTGCTTAACATATTTTTGAAAACACAATTAGTTTTAAGTGCCTAGTCTATTTTCTAACAGAGTCTAATGAAGAAGTTTTATCGCCATTAGACTACATCAGAAAATAGTTTCATTATCTTAAACATATTTATCAAGAAACATATGCTATATTTCATCTTTAAAAGACATTTAAAATTAAGCACATAGTTTAGCAATTATGAAGAAAAATTAATTGATGCTTATTTTAAAATAAACAGAAATTCATTTAAAGGCTTAGGACAGAAATCTCGCAACAAAATTTTCAGATTGTTAAAATGTTTCAAAAGAAAAAACAAATACTTAATTCAATTTGAGTAAAAAATGAAGGCATTTATTTATTTTTCAAATAACACTTCTATTGTTTCTCCCATCAGAAATTCCAGTTCATTCAACTGAGAAATATCTAGAATTCAACTGGAAGGAATTATTTATCTAAAATAAGATGTCCTTTTAATAAAACATTACTAATGTTTCATCATTAATTAAATTAATACTTTTAAACTAAATTTTAAAACATCATCAACGAACATAATCAAAATTTTTTTGCATCTTACTCTCAAAAATTTTAAAATAACTTTTGCATCATCACTATCTGATCCTTTTCCTAGCTTTGCACTTGCTTCTTCCTATAAAAAATAATGCAATAATAAATATCTAACTTATTAAAATATTATTTACAAAAAAAATATGTATATAAATATTTTTTACTTTGAATAGGTCACTTAATACTGTATTACATTTATAAAATAACAATGAAACACTTTCAAATTATCAGTTAACAGTTCAAGAATGACTGCAAAATATAAAAAATTTCAATAAAATTCTGAAAGGTAAAAATTTCCATTTAAGTGTAAATGATTCTTGCAATAGTTTTTGCCTTAGACAACTTTATTCTGTCTATATTTTAATTTTCATCATAGAATTAAAGGTTCTTACTGGTAATTTCATTGGGGAAACAGATAATCACAAAGTAGTGAATTTAGTCTATGTCGATGTTTTATCGCCATTAGACTCCATCAGAAAGTCGTCAAAAAAGCTTAAGCATAAAAAAAACTTATGTTAACAGTTAAAACCAACTTCATTTAATATTTAAAAAATGAAATCACATCTCACAAAAGGCTAAATAAACATTAACACACACGGACTGATGGCAGACATCAGCAATCAGCAGACAAAAAAAGGTGGGAAGTAAGTCTTGGCAAAAAAGTTCCCAGTTTTTATCCTCATGCCATGGCAAACTCATATGTAGAGTCATTAGGATATTTTTTAAATGGGGGATGTGAAAAATGACCAATGCCCTCATCGGGACTCGAACCACAGACCTCCTGAATACGCTATGAGCGTGCTGACCATTATGCTACGAAGGCTTGCCAAGAAGGCAGGACAAATACCTTATAATATTTATATGCATACTACACAGAAAGCAAGGAACATTGCCACTTACTACAATGGGGATTTCCACCATAGTACTACTAGGTGCCGGAGGCACAAGGGGTCAGAGACACCTCGGGTTAAACTTGACTGAGGGTTAAACTGACTACTAGGTACAACAAAGGACTGCAATGGACTATGACATATAACTTTGGACCTCAGTCAGTCAATGCAAGCAGGACTTCAGGCAACACAATCCTTTGACACAGACAGATGAGAAAGAATTAATCTTTTGGTTTGCTGTATACCTGGATGAGAAAGTCCATGCAGTGAATCAAATGCTTGCTCTCTGGAATTGGCTGGGAATAAAGAGACGTATCTTGTTACCACTTATATCACAATATTTAGCCCAGGAGACAATTCCATCTTTTGTAGTTTTAATGAGCTACTTCCATTTGACAATAGATGATTCAGTTGGGGATCATTATGTTAAAATTCAAGAACCTGGTGCAAAACTTGTTATATTCAACTTATTAATAGCGGTAACTTGTGACAATGTATCTGCCACAATATTTTCTGGTCCAGGAACATGCTGTGCATCGGCACTGAATTGGGCAATATAATTCATATGCCTAACCTGCCTGGGTGATGCAGAATCTGCAAAATTGCAAAAACTTAGCCCTCAAGATTATGTTGAAAATGCCTTACAGCAGAGTAGGTAGTGAGTAACCCTCAATTGTATTTGCTTAGCTTCAGCTGGAGTAAGTTTTTAGGAGAAAAAAGACAGTGGTTGAAGGCCAATATTGCATTGTAAGCACAAAACAGCTCCAGTAGCCATATCTCAGGAATCGACTATCAATGACAATTTCTGACCAGTGGCATTGTAACCAAGTGTCACTTAATTTATTAGATCAGTTTTACATTTTTAAAGGTCTCAGCTGTTTTTTGCTGTCCGAGAAACAGGACGTTTATTATTCTTTTTAGAATCTTTTAAAAGAGAAGGAATCAGAGCTTGGCAGTAACTACCTTAGGCAATAATTGTTGATAAAAATTCAAAATTTATAAAACCCTTTTTAATTCAGATATTATTACAGGTTTAGGGAAGTTAGAAATTATTGCAGTTTCTTCAAAAACAAGCCAAACACATGAAGGGGTAATTAAATGCAAAGAAATGATACCAATGACTTTCTCAAAATACATTTAGAAGGATTCACTTTTAACCCGTATTTTTGCATTCTATCAAAAATCAAATGCAGGTGACTCTCAAGCTTATCTTCATTTGCTTAAGCCACAAGAAAATTATCCAAGTATGGAACACAAAAGTCTAAGTCAGAAAGTAATTGATGAATAAAACTTGGGAATTTTAGCTTGCATTTTACAAACCAAGTGGAGTTTTAAGGAATTCAAATAATCCAAATGAGGTAGTCACAGTTGTTTTAGACATGTCCTCTGGGTTAACAAGGATATGATAGTACACCGTACCGAAATCAAGTATTGAAAAAATAGTCCCCTCCTCCCACCCACCCCAAAAAATGTGTGTAGTCTTAAACATGCAGTACAGGATACCAGACAGGAATAATCACACCATTCAAGCAGTGACAGTCACCGCAAGGTCGGCAATCTTCATTAGCCCGACAGACCATGTCAAGAGGGCTGTCCAGGCACTTTTGGATGGCCGAATGATACCTTGTAACAAGAGGTACTCAAATTCTTGTCAAGCCACTTGGAATGAAGTCGGCAACAAACGACGAGGTTTAGAAAACACAGGGGACCGTCAGTCTCAATGTAATGGAAAATTGTTGAAATTTGGTCACATAAGAAGGAATATGAGCTCAATATACTCAGGTAGTAATTTATCAAATTTAGAGTCAACAAGAAGTACAGATATGGCTAAATCAAAAGAACTCTTAAATAGTTTGCCATACAATGACAAACCAGTTCTGGAATAGATAAGGCAATTATTATCAACAGCAACAAGTAATCCATATTTCTTAAGGAAGTCAGCACCCAAAACTGGTTGATTTCCATTCACTACGACATATAACTAAGTATAGATGCGACATAAATTTAAGTCCAAAATAAGAATGCCAAATGTTTTGGTTCCATTTAGGAAGAATAAAACCAAATCTTAAGAAAGCCTAGAACACTGAGAATATTTTTTCCTAATACCGACAAATCTATCCAGTATCAATTAAATAATTTAATTTTAACAAAGGGTTCCCGAAAAGTATACGATTTACCCGTCAACTACCACCTTGGCCAGCAAGCAATTTGAATTTCCTGTTTTAAGAAAGGAAGATGGACACTGACATTTCCTTGCACAATCGCCAAAATTTACATGATACAAACAAAGCTTGTCTCTTTGCTCTTTTTGTTGTTGTTGCTTATCCTCGAAAGATCTGACATCATCTTCAAAAGGTTGTTGACGGCCAAAAAATCAATAATAGTTAGAGGATTGGATGTTAACTCCCTACGATGCGATTGAGTATGTGATCTGGTGAAGCTGGATGGCTTCAGCATTTTTAACAAGCAGGGTGGATTTTTCTGCCACTATCAAATGAAAGATATTTAAGGTGGCCACTTGTATGTCTAGCCAGAGCAGTCTGGGAGCCACGGTCATATTTGATTTCCAGTAGGAAGCCGAGGGATGTTCCTGTGTACCATTGGTGTGTGGGTGGAATACGCCATTGTCCTTATGTCCTAAAGTCTTGCAGGTTGCCTCAAAGTCTGTTCTTAGTGGACGAAGGGATGTACCTGGATGGAATGGGTGAAGTACGTTGGAAAAGTAATCTTCTGGAAGGGTCACCTAAAGTGTGAAGGCCGTTCCATTATGCTTTAAGACCTGCAGGCAAAGAAGCAAAGACAGACTTCTTCCCTTGGACTTTGCCCAGGGGGCTCAAGGCTTTTTGGCCAACAGTCCAACTCCTTATGATTTTGCTCTTTATAGCAATTAGTGCAATTCGTGTGACCCACTGTGCCAGTATGAATGCCAAAAATTGCATTTATGAATAAGATAATTACATTCCAAGGGTGAGGTTAATTCACCAACTTGCTTTGTCAGTTGTGCTTGAAGTTCCAATGAGTTGCAGCTAATTCACTTAACTCAAGGGTCAGGATAGCCATGTAAGAGTGAGATGCGAGTTCTTATCAGCAACCATAGCCAATTTATTCAAATCATCTTCACTGAGAGCAGAAAAAATAGATTACGTATTATTGGAAAGTCTTGCATACGAATCAATAACTGAGAAAGGTTCTAGTTGCCAAGCTCAAGACCTTGCAATAGAGTATGAATTTCCAACACTTAACTTTCAGAATGTATTGCAATCAATCTCTGTTTCAGGATATTGTATTTTCTAGCAGTGGGAAATTTTAAAAGGATATCGCTAACAGAATTAAGTATATTAAGAATCCACAGCACAACATGGTTCAGTTTTGTTAAATACAAAGTTATAGTGGAAAGGGAAAAGAGCAATTTTAATTTAACAAAAAAATCATTTAATCCCACATGCATTCAAAAAACCAAAAATTTAAAAAGGTAATCCAGTTTCATCATCGACACACAAACCAACAAAAATCTTCACCAAAATATTCTTAAAATTTACTCATACTAACATAACACCACTGTGAAATCACAAAATACATACAGGTTGCTCAGAAACTTCATTCAGCAGCACATAAAACTACTGCATAATTCACTCGGATAAGTTCTGGACCACAAGATTTTATGCGAAGAAGCATCTTCCATACAAAATACATGGGTGAAATGAGAACCAGTTTTTCAAAGCAGGGATACCTGCAACTTATGGTGCATCCGTTACACTAGGTCAACAAGTATGTCAATGTTTTATTACCACTAGACTACAACAGAAGGTCATCAGGAAGGCCTACGAATCACAAAAAATTTCAGCTAACAGTTAAACCAACTTTATTTAACATTTAAAAAAGGAATATTTAGCTCACAAGAGCTAAATATTTAAATATGAACACGTAAGAGCCAATACCAGACATTGGCAATGAAGAGGCAAAAAAAGTGAGAAGTAAATACTAAGGCTCAGAAAAATGTTTTCTTATTTCAAAAACCAAACATATGAAAAAATAATTTAATCCTACCTGCATTCAAAAAACCAAATCTGGTCTCAGCACTGACACACAAATTGACGAAAATCTTCACCAAAAATATACCAGTTTGAATGTTGCTGCTCACTGGAAAGAGGATTTACGGCGTAATTCTATAAACATTCAATTTCCCAACTTTTTGTGCTGGGATACTTGTCCAAATTATTTACTACTTAATAAACAGAAGAATAAATAAAAATAAAATGTTAAAATTGATATTTTAATACAATCCAGGATACTAACAATTTTTTAACATTTTTTTAGAGAAGGGATTATTTTAATACGAAAATTGCTTAATTTGCAATACTGAAGATATTTTATTATTATCAAACATAAAAGGAATAAAGTAAGAGCGAAAATCAATCTTGTATAGTAATAAGACTCTTGAAAATAACTGTAATTTATGCCAAAATGCTATATACATAGATTGAACACCACATATGTTTTATTCATACTAATAGTGAAACATAATGAAACAGGAGAATTCCGATAATTCATGATTGTTAATCCGTGAGTGTCTGCAATCCATTTTCATTTTTACTTTTAGAAAATTCAACAGAGTAAAATAATTTGTTTTTACTTTTAAAAAAAAATACAGTACATTTGTAATATATTTTGATTGAAGAAGCAAATTAATTTTGTTATTGAAGTTATTCAACATTTTCTATGCAAGTGTGGTGATCTGAATGCATTATGCTTGCTTGTACATATTGTCAACTCTTGCTTGCATTGCCATCTATTTGCATAGATTGAAAACGTAGCACACGAGTTCTCCATGTCCTTCAAGATGGAAACTGACCTTGGGATTCAATCGTGAATCTGCTTCATAGAAAATGCCTTGAAACTGTTACAAAATGTAATCGCATGATAGTTTTGGATATTTTAACTGTTTCATGAGCAAAGTATTTGATTGGATCTCAGGCTCACTACACATGCATCAACTCTCTCTGCTTATGAGAAGATCAGAGATTAAGAACTTGTAAATTTTTTATTTTAGATAAAGCATTGTTTTTTAATATATATTCAATTTTTTTAAATTCATTTTAATTCTGCATTTATGTGATTAACATATATGAAGACTTTATTCATCCCCAAACTCTTAGATATTCAGTTCATACAAGCACTGTATAACTGGTTTCCTGATATTCTGCAAAATTAGTAAGTTAATTTACATCAGAACAGTAACATCAGAACAAACAGAAACATAAATCTAAGAAACAGCTCTTGTAGAGGTTTTTCTGGTATCAATAATAATAATAAAAAAAAAAAAAAAAAATTTGGCATGTGATTTGAAATAAATAAATTCTGTTTTAAGAGATCTTAAACTTTAATTATAGCATTTTAAGGCCCTAGTGGTGTTGTAAATCTAAGTGTACAAGTGTGGATAGTATAAGCAAGAAAATTAATTTAGGGAAAACTATACTGCCAGAATTCAACAGTGCATTTACTTATTCATCTATCTATTTTTTATCTTAAGATCATAGAAAATAATCTTAGCAGTGGATTTGTTATAAATTGTAGATAAAATACTTTGATGCCTTTATAAAAAAAGATTTCTTTATTGCCCTTCTCGAAAAAAAAAAATCCCTTATCATTTATTCACTTATCACTTTTTTCTTCCTACTAAATTTTTTTTCCCTTATAACATTTCTTTGTACAAAAATTTGTTTTGCACTCAGTAAACCCTAAATAAATAACCTTCAATCATAATTAGATCAGTTACATATTTGCAAAGAATCCTAATAAAAAGACACTATTTGAAAATTCCTTAATTTATACAACTCTTGATCCTAAGTCACATAGATTACAAAATTCTATTGTATTTCAAATGTTGAGAGATTCTTAATCCTTCAACTCACAGTTGGAAGGTTTCCTTCTCCATAAATGTCAGTTTAACTCATATGCAAAATTAGTCAAATAATTATATGCAAAATTAGAGTGTCTAAAATAAAGCACAGACACAAACTGTCAAAGAAAGGGTACAGTGTAAAAACATACAGTATTATTTCTTGTATTATGATTTATTAACATCAAAGCAGTTCTTTTTTTCATTTAAATACAGGATTTAATTTACTCTTCATGCATATATATATAAAACTTCTGAAAAGATGATATTCAAATTTTGAGAAAAAATATTTTAATAAAAAGTAAAAAAAAAGATAGCAAGCTTACTTTAATTTCTTCAATTGAAGTTCCTTCATCTTCAACTTTAACATCATTTACAGATTTTCCATCTTCTGTAGTCCCCTGTGTTTTTAAAATTTCATCCAAGTAAGCCTGATCAACTTTCTCCATAGCCTCCTGAAAATCATTTCTAAATCCTCGATCCACTTCAGGTTCTAAAATTTCAAGTCTTCTCAACCTCTGAAATGCCTCCAACTCAGTTTCACCAAATAAAAGAATTGGCTCTTGCCTTTCTCTTAGCCTTCGGATCACCTTCATAAAATATAAATGTTTAAATTTCTTAAATTTTTGTTATATCTGATGGAAATAAAGATACACACATACGTATACATAACGTTAAATTTAGATTTATATTAAAAAGCATTTTATAATACTTTTTTTTATAAAAATACACTACTATAAAACAAAAAAATTACTTGAATATTTACATATTTTTTAACACAGTCATGTAAATAATTAGTATGACATTTGACTGAGTTCATGTAAATCAATCTCATTTAAATAAAGATAAAATATAAATAAAGAACTATTTTTAAAAGTATGTGAATCACTTAGCTTTATGATGCATTTATTGATTAGTTTATTTTAATAGACTATCTCTTATAAAGCTATGTATTTTTTTACGATAAGTATTACTTGCAATGAAAACATATTTCTATGGAGTCTGATCTGATATAAGGTCCTGACCTATCCATTCCCTCATGAGTTAAAATAACTAAAGCAATTATATTGAACTTCTATAATATATTTCAATCCATTTATTCCCAATGCATCACACATGACATGCTTTTTTTTTTTTTTTTAAATGACTGCTGCATTGCATAGGCATAACTTTAGTAGTGAAGCAATATTCATTAGAAAGAAGAGAAAATTAAATGTCAATTAAAAAATATAAACTAATATACTTATTTAAAAAGTTGAAGCAAACTATAATTCGCAGCTCATAATATCTTATTTACAATGTATATTAAAATCGTATTTACATTATATGTTAAAACAGAACATTTTGTTTGAATTTTAAAATCTAAATAGGTGTTAAAAAAGGAAATTAAATGAATCATTAACTGCAACTTAACAAAATAAAAAATGAGAACACCATAGTAAAGTTATTTTTTGCTATGCTCATGAAAGAATCAAAGAAAGAATATCGGAACAAAAACTGGCATCGTCCAATGACACAGCATCTTTCCGTAAAAAAAAAAAAAAAAAAAAAAAAAAAAAAAAAAAAAAAAAAAAAAAAAAAAAAAAAAAAATCAAAGAATTCTACAAATTATGGCACTGGCACACAAATTCAATTACTTACGAAGTACAACTTCATGGAACATGGATTTTTACATTCTTTGCTGCTAGGTAAAATGCTATATTTCTGAATAAATGCAACATTTTCTTCTTCATTAGACAGGAAATTCTAGTTACATTACAGTTCTTTACAAGGGAAAAAAAAATTTACAAACTCATCAAACACTAATCAGAATAGACACTAACCAGAAAAATGACCATCAAATTTGAAGCCAATATCCACACTCATATGCTGCATGCAAGCACACCTGAGCTGCCACATTGCATTTTTGCGATGTTACCTTTACTTATCCTGGTGATAGCTGTCTGATGAATTGTTCTCAGGGTTGGGTGAATAATCAGAAAGTACTGAACAGTGTTTAGAAATGTATCCCATAGGAGGAAAGAAAAAACTTATCATTTTTATATATATTTACTGTAATTAATATATAATAGGCACTATGATATATGTATCCATAATTTTTTGTTTTCTGTTTTATGAATGTAGAGGGTACCACATAAAACTTAACACATTTTTAAAAACTCTGATATGACCAGCATATGACCTCCCACTAATTCCATGTTTTAAATAACAATGAATAACTTTTCAAATAAAATGCTGCTGCTTGTTGTTGAATTTTAGTGGCATATATGTGAAGATAGTGATGCTTAATAAATAAAGCTAAAATGACAAATAAAATAGTTGGTCACCTTATTAAGAAAACTGAAAACTAATACCATGAACTGAGAAGACTGAAAAAATATATATGCTAACAATTTATATTCTACTGGGAATTCTAAAGATATTTTGGTGCTTTAAAAATTTTGTGACTAGCTACTAACTAGCTGAGAACACAGAACCAATTTCCAACACGAATTCCTTTTGTTTTCACTAGAGCTTCTAACACTGCATTTGCAACTGATTTTATTGCTGAACTGTTTTTATTGCTAAAATGTTTCTATTGCAACTGTTTTTATTATTGACTGTTTTTATCGCTGAAATATATGTGCATTTTGTGAGGATTTTGACATTCTATTGCAAGGTAAAATGCTGCTTTCTTGAAAGACAATTAGGCATTACTTTGAATCATACCTAGCAGAATTAATATGATGCCAGTGCACAGGATATAAAAAACATCTGGAACCATTTTAAATATAAAAACTACATGTTAGAAGTATGTACAAATGAAGTGTTTCCGATTAAACTTCGGGCATCTGTGCATACCCAGAAACTTTGATGACTCTAATTTTTTTCTTTTTTTTTCCCCGATTTATTACTATGTTGTTTCGAATAAGTGTCTTCTGTATTGAGTCTGAGTGTGTGTTACTATGATTAATAAATGATGCATGTTAACCTTTTAGCATTTTGGATTTAAAACAAAAAGCATGTCAGCGTCAATGTGGACATGCGAGCAGTCTTCCAAGCGTCGATATGGATGTGCAAGCGAGGAAAGAAATTTTATGATTACTCTATTTCTTCCCATTGCATTTAATCTGAATTTTGATTGCTCACTAAAGTCTTTGCATAATTTCTTAGAGAGCCCCAGTCAATTCTGAATGCCTCTTTTAAACTTCAGTTTTTTTTTCATGAAAAAATCTAATGAAAGAATGTGATTAATTAATTATTTTGTCAAGTTCTATTTTTTACAAAAGGGGATCTTGCTTAATACTTCCAAATTCATTTCATCCCATAACACTTCTTGCTCTTCAGAAATTTTAGCCCAAACCCAATGATTAGTTTCTTGTGAATCTGATTCATTTACTGCCTCAAATCCTTATTCTCCTAGTTTTGTACTATGACTGAGATATGAGCTACTATAGTGTTAATATTTTAAGTCCTACCAACAGTTATAATTTATGGTTGCAATTTGCACCAACAAGCATTTACTGTGAAAGACAATTAACTGCCCCAACTGGAGTGCTTGGACCAGGCAGCGAAATGTTTAGAATTAAAAGAGGCATTGGGTGGCAAAATTTAAAAGCTAAAAGGATTGCACTGGGCAACAAAAAAAAAAAAAAAAAGCTATTGATGCCCTGATGGAAATTTCTTTTATTTATAATGGAATCCTTAAATGCAGCAAGTTCCTTATCTTTATCTTGCAAATGGAAGATTTCTTTACTTATGACTTCATACATTTCAGATATTAGCTACTTGCTCATAAGTAGACAGATACGCGAATATGGAAATCAACTAGTAAATAAATACGCATGTGATAAATAAAAACACAAAGAAAAAAAACTGAAAGGTTTCACATTTTAAATAACTTCCAAAGGGGCTTTTTTTAACATTTTGTGTGTTACCTTTATTTATTAAATATCATATTCTTTGCACTTAAACCATAAAATTCAGTTTAAGAACAATGTCACAAAATGATTTTAAAATGAGCATATCTTTAGAATTTCCGATACACAGTTCCGCAAACTGGAGATAAAAAGTTTTTTCCTCCTCCGTAGATTGTTGCCATTGCTCGCTTTGAAATGCTTGAGTTTGTTAATCAAAAATTCATTAAAGTTTTACAAAATATGAAATCGATAATAAAACAAATTCCAAATTTGGTCTTCCAAATGCCCATATTCGTAGGAGGATTACGTAATTCAAAATTCGATGGCTCTTATGTACCATTGTTTTATCACAATGCGAGAAATATACATACATTTATGCAGATTTTTCATTATTTAATTTCTTCAAATATAATGCAAGACTCTAACATCTGGTGGCAACAGTTTAAAAAAGTGAAATGGACATTTATAGTGATTCAACGCAAAATCGCAAAACAAAAATAATAGTCCTTCAGGAACAAAGGGTGAATCTTTACATTACGGTAACTTGGCGATTTTTTGGCGACCAACCCTGCTACAGCAACCTGCTAGTTTTGTTTTGGACGCCATTTTGTTTTCACGAAGTAAAGGCAATATTTATCTATGTACACATCGACCTATTTCCACTTAAAAAGTCAAAGAAAATTGACAAAAATCCAATTCTTCTTACTCTTGTAAAAAGCGCCAAACAAATAAGTGGGCGATTCTGCCTTTAGCAGCGAAATTGTTTCTAAGTGCTTATTAGCTAAAATCACGATCAGAATTTTCCGGAAATGTCACATTACATGTCTCAATCTCTCATTTCTCTGAGACAAATAATCTGTGATTCGGAACTGTGTACTTCTCAGATTATTGCTAAAGTCCTAGCTAGTAACCTTTATCGCCTTACCAAAATGTCGCCAAACTACCTGTTACCATATTCTAAAGATTAGCCGAACAAAGCCCCTTTGGACTAAAAATGAGAAAAATACATGTGCAAATAACAATGTTTATAGTTCCTTGAACAAATGACAGATTTAAGGAAAACGAAACTGAAAGATTTTAGCTTTAGTTTTCATAATTTATTTTACTTTATCTTAACTGTGGCTAAACAAAACCTGAATTGAAAAAAAATTACAGACAACGAGGGATTACTATACAATTAATAATATAATACACTTACTTCTTTTCTTGGTAATGTACCTTCAGAATCTTTTGATTTTTGAGATTCTTCTTCAGCTCTTTTCCTTTCATTCTATATAGATATAAAAATACTTCAAGTCAGGTAACATACTTTTATACTCAAAAGCAAACTAAATACCATGTAAAAAATTAAAGAAATTAAAGATGTAAAATTAATTTTTATTATGTTTTCGAATTAAATATCACCTCAGTATTCTCGTTTTCATCTTTTTGTGGACAATGGCGTTGCCAATATTCTTCCTCCTGCTGCTTAATTAAATCTCCTCGCTTGAAGTACTTTTTACTTGGTGTCTATAAAATATTTAGAGAAATACAATATAATTAATACAAAAATATCACAATTCAATTCAAGAATCATTTTATACAATTTATTTTTCATTTATTTCACAAAATTTAAAAAAAAAAAAAAAAAATCCTAAAAATACTGAATTTGTTTTTTCCAGTATTATTAGCGAAAATTAATTTCCTAAATGCTGTACTTAAATAACTTAGAACATTCAATATATTCTACTCGGACCTAAATTTTTCAATATCATAGTTCCTATGAAGTCATGCCACTTTCTTGCTCTAGAAACAACTTCACTGTACTTAACATTAGTAAGTTGTTTACTCTTCTCTCAATTTTTTATGTTGCACTTCCATTGTTCAGCTGTTTTCAAATAAAGTACCATATCCTCTATTAATATATTATTTTTTTTTTATGGTAGGCTCCTTTAAATTAGAAGGCAATTCTGTTTTCTAATTCTCTTTGCAATTTTGTAGAAGGCAAATCTCATACAACAGTTACTGTAAATTCATATCTTGTTCACAAAAGCCAAACGTGGCTTAACGAGAATCAATCAGGGTTACAACAAACAAGAGGACAGATGTTATGCACGTACAGTGATGTTATTACGATTATTCAGAATTGGCTACTACACTATTTGGTGACAGTTCCACAGTTCATGGGATAATACATTAAGTACCAAAATATATACAATAAAACAAAAGATCAATTCACATACGATAAGCCTATAATATTTTTAATTATGTTTAATAAAAAATGGGATATGAGCTAACATACAAGATGCAGCAGAAAAATATCAGAACTGGTTTTATAAAACACAGTGCATATTTATAATTTACAAAGCAAGGCTATTTCCTTCAAATTAATTCTCTGAGAAGCTATAATATGAAATACCAACATATAATGAAATCCCTTGAAAACGGCGCCCGATTAACTGGCAATATCAGATTAAAAGTACTTTAGTACACATTTCTGCTCACCGAAATTAAGTGCTTTTAAGTACTTTTAAGCACCATTAATGAAAAAATGAAGAGCCTACGAGCAAATAGGACCTAAATAAATTCAATTAAAAATATTAGCTATGCTTGAACTTCATTTTTGTAATACCTTCCTAAAAATAAAATAGATTCGTAAGTAGGATGCATTATTATTAAACATGATTTAATAAACATAATTATTCATAAGTTTGAAAATAAAATAAACTTTATGGAATTTATCAAGTAGTATTAAATATTTTACACATATAATAGTTGGACATATTTGAAAGAAGATTTTACTAACAGTTAATACAGATCATAGAACATAAATGAAAGTTTTTATGCTAACCAAATCAACTACAGCTCGTGGTGACGTAACTAAACTGGAACAGTCAAATTAAAATTAAAAATATGGACTAATAGATCAGGCCGGTTACAGAGCCGGTGTGGCAGAATTTTTAAAATTTATTGATTACATACAAATTACAAAATCTAGATATGGAACAACTTTTATAATTTTGAACAGGCACTGGAAGCAGAATTCAAGACCCACAGAAATTGTATCTGGTAGGAAAATGCCTAGCATCAGCACTGTGTGTGATGCATCGAGACATATTAGATGAATTCCTTAAATTGACAGTTTTCAATTTCTTTATTAATAGAAAAATTCCTTTTTATAGATGCCTGTCCATGCCATACGATTAGAAGCATTTTTGATATCTTTCATGCTTGTATCAAGTGAAAAGAAGAGAAAGGGAAGATAAACACATTAAGAAAAAGTCTTCTAGGATCAGAACTTAAATATTAAGTTTTCATTGCTCTTCCAAGAATTCTCCAACTTGTAATAAATTCATCACAATAAACTTCCTACAAAATACGTCCATTACATGTAAATTCCAGGAAGACTTTTTTTTTTTTTTTTTTTAAATCTCCTAGAATCATAACTCTATGAATCATGGGCTCATATCTTTCTAAGCTTTCCAAAGTGCAATGTCTAAAATCCAAAAGAAAAATTACCTCTACAATTTTCTGGAAGAGTAAAAAGCTAGGAAAAGACCTTCCCCCCCCAAAAAAAAAGACTAAGACCTCCCTCCCCCCAAAAAAGAGAGAAAAATAGTGTAAAATTAATTTTATAGAGGAAACTAATGTATATTGAAAATTCTGAATATTACCGTATTCGACGGCATATAAGACGCACTTTTTTTCCTAAATTTGGTCTCAAAAAAGTTACCTGCGTCTTATACGTGAAGGTTATTGCATTCAATAATTGTTTATTTGGTTTTTACGAAATGTGAGAACTAAAAGAAACCACGCTATTTAAACTTTTTTTCCTTGTGTGTCGCCATCTAAATAAGGGTGCTTCTTATATGCTAGTGTGTCTTATATGCCGTCAAATATGGTAATATTCAGAATTTTCAATATACATTAATATAAGATACATACATATAAGAAGCACCCTTATTCAGATGGCCACATACAAGGAAAAAAAGTTTAAATAGCGTGGTTTCCTTTAGTTCTCACGTTTCGTAAAAACCAAATAAACAATTATTGAATGCAATAACCTTCACGTATAAGACGCAGGTAACTTTTTTGAGACCAAATTTAGGAAAAAAGTGCGTCTTATATGCCTTCAAATACGGTATTTGTGGGCTGGGGACTGTTACCATGAAAAAATAAAGAAGACATTTTAAAATATAATTACATACCTATTTTGCTATTTGTGTTTCATAGCATTTATTAACCTGTTTATTTTTTAGATTAAAAATACTGTAATAATAAGTCACCAATGGAACTGCAATTCCAAAATGGAAAATAATATCTCTTTAATAATATGACGGGGGAAAATAAAAATGTTTTATTTTAATGTTACTTCTTAAATATAATTTTAATATATTACCATTATTTTAGTCAAATTTATCAATGTTATGTTTTAAAAAAAACATTGAAAAATTCACAAATTCCTGAATTAAAAATTTTGCATATAGAAACTGATCTTAAAATTTCCAAAATGTTGATAAGTAGCCAAACTTGGAAACATTTAACAAATGAATTCACATTTCCCAAAAGGAAAAAAACTGTTAAACAGAGCTTCATTAGAACAAAGAAGAAATAATTTCAAAATGCTTATGCTTCACTTCTTGCCCAGAAACTCCAGAATATCCTTTATATATTAGAAATGGGAACAAATTTATGCGATAACCCACGAAATACATATTTGTCAGTGAATTGCCCAAAAAGTTTCTTATAAAATGCTAATTCACACTCAAAATGGCAATTGTATAAACAAACATAAATTTCAAATTATTAAAATTAAGGACTTTCTGCAGATTTTGGCCAAAAGGGCCTTATAAGGATAAAAAATTTATTCCAAAAAAAAAGACCTAAGGACTTACATACGTTTGAGGACCGTACAAACCTTGTAAAATATATCATTGCACAGATAGCAACAGAAATACATATATAAAAACATACTTAGATCAGTATATGAACACTGATTTGAATAGTACTGAAAATGTATTCAGAAGCCTTTGTAATCATTCTAATTTTATATCTCATGATGAATTTGAATTAAATTTCATACAATACCAGTGATTAGAGCTTTACCACCTGGAGCAATCCTTGAATTTGCCTCCTTTCTAAATATACCCCGTCCTCCCAAAAAAACTACAAAAATGTCAAAATGAAATATAGAAAAATACATTAAAACTCCATGTTTATTTCTGGGGGAGGGGGGGGGGGGGAATTTCAATTCCAAAATTTAAAAATTACATTATTATTTTGCTTTTTTTTTTTTTTTTAGCCAAAAGGGCTATTAATTTTGTTTTGGCATTTTGCGTTGGTTCACTTTTCAAATTATTGCCACTCTTAGAGCCCTGTGTTATATTTAAAGAAATTAAATAATGAAGAAACTGCATAAATGTAGGTATATTTCTAGCACTGTGATGAAACAATGATGACTAGAGCCATCCAATTTTGAATAACGTAATCCTCCACTGAATATGAGCATCTGGAAGCCCTAATTTGGAATTAATTTTATTACTTATGTAATATTTTGTAACACTTTAATGACTTTTTGATTAACAAACTCAATGATTCAAAACGAACTATGGCAACACTGTACCGGGGGGGGGGCATTTTTATCTCCTGTGCACGAGACCGTGTATCAGAAATCTAAAGATATGCACATTTTAAATTATTTTGTGATACTCCGTTGAATTGAATTTTATGGTTTAAGTTCAAAGAACATGATGATAGATTATCGATAAGCCAACATTTGTGTGTAAGAAGATGGCTATAAATTAACTGTTATTGCTCTATTTTTTCCTTGCATTTTGAACAAAAAAATTACTCTAATTTGGGACCTACAGAATAACAAGCAGTAGATTAGTTTCAAAGTTATGATTGGCACAATACAGTCACCTGAATATAGCCAACAAAACAATATTAGATTGTTACCTGTAGAGTGGATTACCTGTGGGAAATATACACTTATAACATTCTGAACAGAACTTTAGGTAAAATCAGAGAGCTTAGCTGGACAGTAAAAATCCATGAAAGTCTTTTTACAAAGCTCAGAAATGAAGCAGATCAAATACCATCACAATAAATCATAAACAGGCATCAGCTCTTTAAAACTTCTGCAGGAACAACCGATGCAACTTTGGCAGAATCTCTGCCAACGTTCATGGTTCGATGGTAGCCAACTTTCAAGGACAGCAAAATAATACAAGAGTACCATTCTTTTGTTTACAAAGACTACTTAACTGCTAAGTTGCTGTTAGATGAACAATATTAAAAGATTTCTTAAAAAAAAAAAAAAAAAAAAAAAAAAAAAATTGCAGTTCTTAAAGATGTCTAAATACTTAAGATTTTTCTTAAGAAAACTCTTCTCATATTTAGCAACATGTACAGCAATTATGAGAAAAGTCCAATAGTATTATAATATCTGGTACTTTTCTGAAGATTGTATTTTAGAACAAACTGCAAAAATTCAAAAGCTCTGCTCTACCACATTACTATTTTGCTTTCCCTAATAACTTTAGTAAAACTCCGAAATACTTTTTTCTTAATGAAAAATTCTTCATTATCAATGTCACCATCATTGGAATTTAGCTGATATTGTAGTTTACAATCAAAAGTTCTCACGGAGTAAAAAAAAAAAAAAAAAAAAAGATAAACAGGTTGAAATTTCGTACTGATTTAGAAATCACTAGTAAAGAAACACTACTTTTCTTCTCAATTTATTTCCATATTTCAGTTCAGAATCTCAACAATCATCACCTACCTCAATGATCTACATAACTACACCTTATAAAATAACGTTTCGTGTGAAAATGCCATCCCAAAATTTATGCCTAACAGGATGAACCATCCCTGTTTCTTTAAGAATTTTTGGGTAAAGTGCAGAATAGCCCACTTATTTGTTTGACGCTTTTTACAAGAGTAAGAAGAATTGGATTTTTGTCAATTTTCTTTGACTTTTTAAGTGAAAATAGGTTGATGTGTATATGGATAAAGTCAATGGAATGCACAATGCCATTTTTGTGCAATTCTGGGATGTTTTTTTAAGTGAAAACAGGTCGATGTGTACATGGATACCGAATATGCGCAATTCTTAAAAATAAAAAGTGCCTTTTATTTAGCAAAGAACCAGGTTGCAAAATAAATATATCTTAGGAAATCTTAAGCATATTCTACTGTGTCACAGACTGAGCCAAAATATCATTGAGACGGTTCTTTGATTCCATTTAAGTTCTTTGACTGAGATGTTCACACTTTCTGTGTGATCCAGCAATCAATTGTTAACCTATTTTGTACGATGATCCATTTATGTTCCTTATCAGATCGGACATAGCAAACCAAATTTTGGGTCCCTCGAAGTTCATTGTAGTGGGGTTCGACTGTATATATAAATAATTCATAGATCAACATGCAGAAAAGCTTTCAAATAACAAAATATACTATCCTCTCACAAAGACAATGCAAAAACTTCTGAAATTATTAATATGTATGAGAATATAAGTAAATATCGGTGTTGAAGACCACCACTCTAAAACAATCATCTGTATAGAAAACTAAAATCATTTGGAATCATGAGTAGTATTCTGTTTGTTCCTCGCATTTGGTATTTAATTATACTAAGATTGTTCAGTAAAATCCATTAACAAAGGCTTTCATTCTGAAAACAAATCAAGACAGATTATGTACTTTGCGAATTACCACACCTTTTGCATAAATGCGAGAAATTTCTTAAAATTAATATTGATGAACTTCGGAACGTCGAAAGGCAAACTTTTGTTTTAATTGTCTGACGCCAAATCGCATACGATGTGATGATCACATATGTGAGTCTCATTAAATTGTAATGTATAATATATAATATAACTAAGCTGAATGGCATTATAATTCGAAGGATATTCATATTTACGCGCATATTTGAATTATATATATTGTACTACCTACACAATTAAATTCAGTTTAAGAAAATTTTATTATCATGAAAAGAGTCTTATATAAGATATTTTAAATATAATTCTAGTATAAACTATTTAAAAACATTTTACCACTAAAGCTTTTTCTTCCAACAACTTCCTTTTGCGTACGATTTCCGCTTTTAATATATCCATCAAAAGCAAATGTAAAACTACGTAAACAAGCTACGAAAAGTCAGTACCATCGGGGTTGTGCTCCACGCATGTGCAATGATAAACTCCGTTGGCGTTATTGGCTGGCCTCCGTTATACAGAATTGGCAATGTATCATGAGATTGGCAACTAAAGACATGTTATTTTACTAAATTTTGCTGAAGTTAAGCGAGAGTTTGGTTTTCAGACCGACGTTACCCCCTGAATTGGAGGGAATGCGTCTTTGTGGTTTAACATGTAAATAACATTATATTTAAGTTGCAGCATAAGGCGCAAAAGGGAAGCCAAAGCTTCAAGAAGTTAATCTGTTACTGATTTCTTATATTTAGCGTGATTAGTATGGAAGGTAATTTCGTATGTTTGGAATGTTCGAAGACCTATTTTGGATTACTACTATGGTAAAATAAGTAATCAAGAATAAATTAGCAATCAGTAAATAACTGCTCGCATTTGGGCACAAAGTGAAAAAATTGCACATGTTCCATAGCACTTACGTATCGATGAAGTCTGAATTTGAATTGTGAATTCATCGCCAAGCCTGGTCAAGCGACGAAGGTTACCATGCTGAAAATATGCCTATTGCGCTTGCGTGAAGCATAAACCATGCTAGGTAGACGCTAGTCTAGAGATACAGACAGATGTCTTGTTTTGCACCCGCTAGTCTTTCTGCGCCGATCGGCAAAAAATCAAGCTTAGGTGCGAAGGAAAGGTATTTGAGGAGAGTAAAAAGGAACTTTGTACATTTTGTACGAGTTCGAAAGGCCAGGAAGAAAATATGGGACAAAATAAAATTTAAAATAAATGGTTCAAAAATAATAGAGGGGAAAAAGAAAAAAAAAAAAAAAAGGGCCTATAGAAAGAAAAGTAAAAGAAGTAGAAAATATTCTAAGATACCATTGTGTCCATGAGTGTAGTTAAAAGGAGAAGAAGCTGTCTTTATTTACAATAAATAGGTCTCACAGATGTGTGTGTGTGTGTAGTGAGTGTGTTTGGTAATGCTGAATAGATGTGATACTGGGGACAAAAAATAGTGACAGTGTTTAAAAGGCTTCGTATCAAGGTATTTAGCATGGAATACATAGTAATATGTATGCTTGCATCCTGAAACTCAGCAGCAAAAGACCCATGACATCAGACAAAAGTATATATTAATTTAACCAAAGTAACTTATGCTACTTTCATTCTCAACATTTTCATACATTTTTCAAAAAGCAGCAGCAGACTAACAACATAGAACCATATACAATACAAGACCACAACCGCATACACCCAAAAAAAAAATAAATAAATAAAAAAATAAAATAAAAAATATATATATATATTTATGTGTGTAAATAACTGAGTATATGTATTAAAAACACAAATTAAACAGTATTTATTAATTTAACTATCATAATTTATTACAAGATTAATTATTCTACTATCATAATTTATTACTAGTTAAATAATGTTAATATAACACAATGAGGCACACTGTTATTTATATAAGCTCATAGTTCTAAGAATTTATTTAAGGCAATGAAGAATAATCCATCCCTTAAATATGGATTTAACAGATAGCAAGAAACAGTATGAGAAAAATATTGGTGAGTTATAATGTTATTTAAAGGCGAAAATATATTTAAACGGTCTAAAAAAAGTAAACCAAAAGATCCGAGAGGAAAGTAGCGCGATGCCCCGAATCCCCAATTTGCCCTCTTTAGTTCGGGCGCCACTGTAGAGACATAAGGACTTTTTTTTGTAGGCCGGAGGGATGAAAACTTAGCAACGCCTTCGCCGGGAATCGAACCACGGACCTCTGAAATACCTGCTCAGTGTGCTGACCACTACACCAAGAAGACACGCTAGGAAAGTGGGAGAAATACCTTATATACTCCCCTTTTTAAAGGGCGACTGGGGTTTTTAGGGGACCCAATCACAAAATCCAGGGTGTGGAGAATCCTCATCCGGCACCCTTTTAGTTCGGGCGCCACTGTAGAGACATTAGGTTAATTGGAAAAGCCGGAGATATGAAAAAAGAGCAAACGCCTTCGCCGGGAATGGAATCACGGACCTCTGGAATACCGGCCCAGCATGCAGAACCACTACATCACGAAGGCACGCTAGGAAAGCGAGAGAAATACCTTATAAGTTAAAGATGGCGGCCTTCTGTTGCGGTTCGCGACCCACAGTTTAAGAAACGACAGTTAAGAAACTAAATTCAACAGTTTTAATTTCTACAGTGCAGAATATCAGCCTTTTCTCTGTTTCATTATATCTAAAATGAAGCTATTAAGCATACGCTCCTATTTGTATCGATTTGATAGTGCTTAAACACTAAATTATGAAATAAATTTTAATTTGAGAGGCTAAAAATATTATTCTTTGTAATTTCGATTTTAAAAAAAGGCTTCAGACTTATTAGTTTAATGAAAACTAAAGTACTTAGATTTATAAATTCCTTGATTAAGTATTAAAAGGAATTAGTATATTAGCAAACTTGATATCTCCTTCTTCGACATACTATATAGAAAAACGGTAAGAGAATGGTAAAACTTTCAAATTTTATTCTTAGAAGACGGTATTTTCATTTTAATTTACGGTTATTTAATTAAATTAAAATTTCATGGCATACGTAATAAAAATCGTTTCATTAATATGTGCTATGATTTCTAATTATTATTTAAATTTGAAATAACAAGAGTAACATAAAGGCAAACGGTTACATTTTGGTCCTTTAGTTCAAGCTAATATTTGATGTTTTTACCTTAAATACGAAAGTTGCAGTTAGCATTAATGAATATTTAAATGAATGTTTGAGCTGAACTTTGAGATAATTTGTACGGTTTTTTTCAAACTCATTTTTCACGGTAAAGAGAGAATATATAAAATGTAAATGGGCACTTAAAAGTCTTTTAATTATTAAAATGCCACCCAAAAACTGAATAGTAAAGTTTAAGAAAATATGTTTGTAAATGATAAGAATGACTTATCTTTGTTTATATTTCTTACGGAGCAAAATGTTTCCGAAATTTCATTTTCGTTTATTGAAATTTTCATCGTGTTAGAAAATGCAAACGTTGTGTTGAGCATTCTTCTTACACTACCCGACGAATTACGTAGAGCCAGTTTCCCTTAAAAGCTCCTTCACGAAGGCATACTTCCCTTTAAGCAGACAGTTCCTGAGTGCTTTGACAACATCTATGAAGCAAACAAACTTACCCCGTGGAAAAGGAATACGGATTATTCTTTTAAATTAGTTATAATTCAGTTTGCATAATCATTCTTCTATTTTTATAATTTTTTAATATCTTCATTTCTTTAACTACTTTTTAATACTGAATGGAGTTTCTGTCTTTAAAGCGGAAACACCAAATATTTTGGTTTATGTCATTACGGCAATTGGATTCGACTCCAGGGCTATCCTGTCTAAGGAGAGTGATGCCTTCGTGGAAGAGTTTCTAAGGGAAACTGGCTCGTATACACGTTACACTTGGAGAAATCCAACTGAACATCAAATACGAGAGTGAGTTAAATGATAAAAAATCTATCGATTTGCCCTAAGTATAGGATTGGATATAGTGGTATAAGTGTGGTATAGGGGTTAACGTCTTGCCGAGAAGGACTCGGGTTCGAATCCCGTTGAACGCATGGATGTTTGTAAATGTATAGTGTCGGTGCGGCATGGTGGCACTCCAAATTTGCGGCGAGCCGAAAGTCCTCTCGTGTGGTTTAGTGGAAGGAGTAGAGAGGTGGGAAACCCGCGGACCTGCCCTCTTCCCGGGGTGCTTCCATCAAAATAGGGGGGGAACTGACCTAAATCACATTGCCACCTAAATGGTTTGCCAACGGCGGGCGTAATCTAGCACTCCTCGCCACGAGGACCTTCGTGGGCTAGGGCTAACTATGTCGGACAAGTAGCAACAACACACAGCAACTAACCTATTACTTAATACTTACCTTATATTTAATATATATTTAATATTTACGTATTTGGTAAGTTGTCGCATTTTACATTACAGAGTATATGTGACACATTTGAGGTGTTAAGTTAGAAATTGAACATACAGGAATTTTGAATGGTAATTGTTATACATTTTTCTCTTGAAGCAAAATACAGGAGGCGCCAATGTATGTGATCGCGGTTAATATTATTCGGATATTGTTATGGAATTGCCGCAGTCCAGCCCATTTTTATACGAAAACTAGTAAAATACATCGATTATCATGATCAACAGTTTGGTTAATGTTCTCAAGAAGGTATTTTTGAAACGGAATTAAAGTCGCCAAATAAAAGTTATAATCGCCAAATAAAGTCGAAATACAGAAATTGCTAAACGACAATGACATGTATCCAACTAGTGCGCCTTGATAGCGTGAATTGTGAGGAATTTAACACTTGGCCGGATAGTGATGGCGGGAGGGGGGAATCTGAAAGCTTTCAGGTTTTATATTACGCCTATAGGTTTTTTTTTTTTTTTTTTTTTCATTTACACATACAAATACATTTCGAGAGCATTTGGGCTAAAAAATATTTAAAAACAGTATATTTTTAGAATTTCTGATAGACAATCTCTGAGCTGGAGATAAAAATATTTTATTCCGCACAGTGGGCTGCCAGTGTTCGCTTTAAAATCGTTGAATTTCTTAATCGAATTTTCTTAATCGTTAAACTTTAAGAAATATAAACTAGATAATAAAACAAATTCGAAATTCAAGATTCGGGCTTCCGTCGGGTGGAGGACTACATTATTCAGAATTTGATGCTTTTAGGTATCGTTGTTTTTTCACAATGCTTTAAACATAGACATATTCATGCAGATTCTTCGTTATTTAATTTCTTTAAATATAATACATTACCAATTTTAAAATGGATGCTCCGATTCGATACAAAACGCCATTTCAAGACTAATAGCCCTTCTGGAACGGTCCATTATGCTAAGAAAATAAACTCAAATTGCAGTATCAATGGCCTACCAGCGGCCGAGCGCTAAAGTCGCTGAATACTGATGGTTCGGTCAGAGGCGTGAATCTCGCGAACGGCCTGTCTGAATGGGCGTTACGTACGAATACCACATAAGGAAGAAGTTTTTAAT